ATATATATATTATATATAAGAAAAAGTAACACCGCGGCTGCTCCTGCTACTACTTTCCACGCTTTCCAAACGTGAGTACCAGGAGAGAACAAACAGCAAACCGCGCTCAGGGGAATCCAAGCCCACCTAAAGCTAGGCCGCTGCTGGTGGAGCCCTGCCCTGCCTTGATGCCCCATTTCCCGGCTCGGCGGTCCCGCTCAGGCGGCACTTTAAAAGCCCTCCTCGCGTACGCACCCGACAAGCCACTCACCACGATGGCGGCTCCCAGCACCCGAGCAATTTCCCAGCAACTTGCGGCTTTTTCCTCTCGGGCGCTCGCTCCTGGCCCCGAACTGCGTGGCGGAGGGGAAACCCAGAGCACCGCCGGGTCGCCTCCTCCAAGCAGCCTGCCTGCCCGCCGGGCGGAACCCTTCCCACTTCTCAGCGGGAAGACGCTCCCGCCTGCAAACTTTGCCTTTGCAAAGTTTAAGCCTGGAAGCCCCAGAAACCCAAGCAACTTCCCAGCAACTTGCGGCTTGCTTTTTCCTCTCGGGCGCTCGTGCCTGGCCCCGAGCCACGTGGCAGAGGGGAAGTCCGGAGCACCACCAGGTCGCCTCCTCCAAGCAGCCTGCCCGCCCGCCGGGCGGAACCCTCCGCTGCGTGGCTCGGGGCCAGGCGCAAGCGCCCGCGAGGAAAAAGGAATCCGCAAGTTGCTGGGAAGTTGCTCAGGTTTCCGGGGCTTTCAGGCTTAAACTTTGCACAGGCAAAGTTTGCAGGCGGGAGCATCTTCCCGCCGAGGAGTGGGAAGGGTTCCGCCCAGCGGGTGGGTGGGCGGGCTGCTTGGAGGAGGCGACCTGGTGGCAGTCCGGGTTTCCCCTCTGCCGTGCGGCTCGGGGCCAGGTGCGAGCGCCCGTGAGGAAAAACCAAGCCGCAAGTTCCTGGGAAGTTGCTTGGGTGCTGGGAGCAGGCTTTTAAAGTGCAGCCCGAGCAGGACCGCCGAGCCGGGAAACGGGGTACCAAGGCAGGGCAAGGCTCCACCAGCAGCGGCCTAGCTTTAGGTGGCTCCAAGCAGCCCACCCGCCCACCGGGCGGAACCCTTCCCGCTCCTTGGCGGGAAGACGCTCCCGCCTACAAACTTTGCCTTTGCAAAAGTTTAAGCCTGGAAGCCCTGGAAAAAAAAGGGGGATCGGCGGGGATTCACCTTCTGAGAGGTCGCACTCGAAGGTTATTTCGAACTCCCAGCCGAGGCCTTTGCAAAGTTCTTCTTTTCTTTCCTACCCCGAGAGCGCTCCGCACTGTTTTGTCAGCTTTGGGGGCCACGCGGCGCAGGGCAATACGCCACGCCCAGCGATTTTTTTTCAGGGGCGGGCCGGATTGGACAGACCATCGGGCCGGATGTGGCCCGCGGGCCGTAGTTTGCTCACCCCTGCCTTAAGGGGTAAGCTCTCTTTCCTAAACTAAATATCCATTCCAGCTAGCACACCAATGAATAAAGAGTTTTTAAGTTTTGTTATTTGCTCAAGCAAATGGAGTTAAAAGCATAACATAAAAAAGCATCCAGTACTAGCAAGGTGGTACCCAAATGTCTTACAAGCTGCCAGAGGCTCCTTGATGACTACAGCAAAGAATCTATGGAGATTCTCAATTATCCAGGTCACGATTACCCCAAAGGTGAGTAAACACTAATTAGAACAGTGTTTTTTTCCCCTTAGCCAGTTTAAAATGTGTGGATTTCCAACTCCCAGAATAACCCAGCCAGCATGCTCTACTCTCTCTGGATGAGGTATTCTGGGGATTGAAGTCCACACATCTTAAAATGGCTAAGGTTGGGGAACACTGCCTTAGAAACAGGAAAACAGAGTTGTGTGCTAAACAGCCTCATCAAGGAACAACAGCAGGAGCTGTGGAGAAGAAATAACTCAGGTTTCAAGTCCATTAGGGTGGAGAGCTAGAAGTAATATAGCCAAGGTGTTCTTTGTTAATTTGTTTTCTATCTCTGCATGTCAGTACATCCAAAGAAGCATCATGTAAAATTTGTGAGTTTGAATTGTCATAATCCCCTATTAAGAACTGTAGATATATTTAATAAGTTTGGATAATTTATAGGAGAGTTCAGGAACGGCTTTTTTGGTCTTTGCCTATCAAAGGAGAGGAAACTGCCGCCTACATGACATGAAGATTGTTCTGTTCCACCCTGATCAGATGAGACGTGATTCCCAAAGGAAGACTAGTCTTCAAGCATTCTTGGTTGGAATAACAGATGTCTTTTTGCTTTCAGATTCCTCATTGCTGGGAAGAGTACAAGAGGACTGGCTATTCTTGGACCAGAAAATCCAGAAACAGCCAAGGATCCTTCCTGGGTTATACGATAAAACAGCAAGCCATAAAAGCCATCTAAAGAAAGTCATAGAAGGAAATATAACAGGAGCAAACTCATGCCACAATTATCAAAGTAGATTTTGTGAAAAAGGACTGTAAAAGTTTTACTGAAGCAAAAGATTACTTGCATCATGTCATCCCAAAAGAGCCCGATACTAGTGCTTTATTTTGAAAAAGTACGTGGATTTGAAGTTTGTCACGGGTCCACATTCTCTTGACCCCACCAATCTTTGTCTTAACTGCAGCAATTATGCAACAAATATATAGTATACAAAGCTAAGGTTACCGCTATGCTTTTTTATGGAGCAGGTTTGAGGTCTATATTCAACCATAATACTAGAACACAGTTCCAGCATTTGGGTGTAGATCCAAGAACATCTGCAGCAGTTAGAGCTGGATTGGGAATTCATACAATTCACACACTATCCCAAATTAGAACATACAACTACTGGCACAAAATCAATGAAATGGACCCCCCAAATTATTCTACTTGAGCAAATAAAACCACAATCACAAATCTCCTGGATCACTAAACTAAAAAAATGTGTAAGAAGCTGTAGTCTTCCTGTCTCTTGTGTAACAGGAGAATGATTTTTTTTTAAAAGCTGCCCAAAGAATCAAGGATATAGAATCAAAAGGATATAACTATCCTTAATGAGGTGAACTTGAAATGGCTGAGCAAATACAAACATACTTTTCAAATAGACAGCTACTTGAAGCTACAAATGCCAAAATATCTTGGGGAGATATTTACATGAGCGAAATTCAAACAGCTTGACACAATGGTCAGATATGGGAGATTCCATTCTATACCCTACAATGGATGTCTCTGCATTTGTGGTGCGGCAGAGATAGAAAACCTGGCTCACATCCTATTTGTTGCCTGTATAAGACGGTGAGAGACAGGTACCTTGGTCTATATACCAAACGACCCATTGGGACCTCCATATCAAAACAACTTACCTTACGTGTGGCCAGAATCTGAAAATAACATTTAACACAGCGCAGTACTTTAGCAAAATGGTTCAGTTGAGATCTGCATATGTGGGACTGATTAGGGTAGATTGCAGAGGTGACACTGAAATATAATTTTATCATATTTTATCTATATCTTAAATTATTGTATCTTATTCCAATTTCATTTTAGACTGTATTTTATTCCAGTATTTTAAAGTGTATCTTGCCCAATTTCATTTTAAATTGCTTTTATGAAATTTTAGTAATAATTCATTTTTAGAATTCTGTACTTTGATACAGGCCAAGGGCTAATCAATAAATATTGAATTGATTGAAACAAATACAAGTCAAGCTATTCCTGGCTGTGAATGACAGCTGGTCCAAATTTCAGTCCAAGCTCCCCCAAAATGCTGTAGTAGCATTCATCTATTTATAAAACTGTAGAATTGTTTTCAGTCTATTTTCTTTAGATCATGGTCCGTTAATGTTTCTGAAAACAGGGCATAATTGATTTTAACTTTCCTTGTTTCCTGTTTCAATCTTGGGCAAGTCAGTGCCTTATGTTAAGGATATTCTGCCTTATTGGGGCTGTTGTAGAGGATTTTAAATAGCTTTGACTTTAGGGAAGGAAGGTCTCAGGCATGGGGATTTCTGTATCATGTGAACATGGTGTGATTTGTTCATACAGCTTCGGTTTTGTGTCTTATGTGAGCACTCATTATTAACAGGATGGAACATTGTGGCCATATTACTCAAGTTCTACTTGAGTATTTCATTTTCTTTCCAAAGACTGCCAAGAATGACACCTGGACAAATAGGAGTCACTATTAGTTAAAACTTCCCTCATGCTTGGCTTTCAAAACAAGTCTCACTGCAGTAAAAGAAGTAACTGCCGATAGTGACAATAGTTCGTGGCAGTGCTTCTCAACTTTGGCAACTTTAAGTGAAAGGACTTCATCTCTCAAAATTCCTTAGTTTCTTCAGAGTTTGGATTTGGGGAGTTGAAGTCCACGTATCTCAAGGTTGCCAAGTCGAGAAATGCCAGTTTACGATATGTGACATGGAAGAAGCCTAAGACTCCTCAAAGCCTCCAAGCAGAAAAAGGATTCGGCCCATCTGCAGAAATCTCTTTCAGCTCTAAAATTGGAGACAGCAGAACTCATGAAGGAACCTGGCCAATTTGGAGGAAAGGGCAGTGGATGACTAGGTAGTCCTCATTCAGTGGCCATTCAAAGTTAACAACCATGTTGAAGGAGGGGGCTTCCAGCCATCACAGTGATTTAGAAGCTTGGTAATTGGCTTATAGCTACCATTCCATAGCACCTACTCTGCCAGTGTATGGCCATGTTGCTTAGCAACAAGCCTACCAGTTCCAATTAACACCATTAAGCAAGAATTGCTTGTATTGCTTCCTGAAGCAATTCTGTAGCAGTGTTTCAGGCATCATCATCAACACACTTTTGAAAGTCCACAGGCCTGTAAGTAATTGTTTACTGACAAGGTGGCTTTTAATCATTCCTTTTTACTAGAGCTGCCTTAGTCCTCAAGGTGAAAAGTGATTGCAATAGGTAAGTGGAAGAACAACTTGCCTTGCGCATAAACTCCTTCCCAAAGTGACTTTACTAAACTCCTACTTAAGAGCCTCCAAGCAACAATGGCTCTGAATGAACTGGACATTTTGTCCTAAAGAAGAGTCCATTCAGCTTGAGAGCAAGGTGGAATGATAAAGTGCAAGTTGCAAGAGAACAAAGGACATTAAACTTTATGATAATGCAGTATTTATTCTGGCTGGATCACACATATGTTTTTCAGTATGTATTACACATAACTATGCTTCTGAGTGTAAACACTATCTGGTAAAAGTGCAAAAGACAAACAACACCACACTGAGTGCATAGAACAGATTTTGGACAGATTATTCATAAGGAGCACATCGGTAACTGGGTTTTGTTTTGCTTTTTTAAAGTTGATCGCTGGAGTGTCTCAGTAGATGAAGCCTAAAAATAACCAGGAACAGAGATAATATTGTGAACGTTTTTGCTTCCCACGTAAAGTGCTGGTACAATAACTTACATGTTACAAAAAGAAGCTGTAACACATTCTAAAGCACTGTTGATGCACAATGGAGACAAGAGTTCCACTCAGGGGGCATCCTGGCATTACAGACTCAGGCTAATGCCTTTGGTCGCACCACATGCTCTAACTGGCCTGATTCGGAAATGTCATAGCTGGCTTTGTATTTGGCCAGGATCTTCATCAGAGGACGCATTTTTAGCCACCACTGTTCCTTAGGAATCCGGTGCCTGTGGACCAAAAGATGGGAGGGAATTGTCATTCAAAGTTTATGTTAGGACATCTATGAGCAATCCGAAATTAATAAATTTTATTTATTCATTTGACTTTCATGGTGGCTTTCCTTACATGCAATGCTCCAAATGGGCTTGAAACAAAACCAATTAAAAATAATAACCGTTGTGCCATCCATTTACACAGCATGACATGGGACAATGTTCAGCCGAATGTTCGCTAGTGAGATGGTTTCATAAGCAGCGGGTGGTTTGCAGAGTAACAGAGCTGGAAGGAACCTTGAAGGTCATCTAGTCCAACCCCGTGCTCAAGCAGGAGTGACCCTACAGTGACCCTTATGTAGGAGGTGTAGTTTATACTGTAAAGGGGTTCCCGGGAAATAGTAAATCATGGGTCCCCAAAAGCTCCAGCTCATGAAGTTTCAGATAGTTCACTGACTCCCATTTACTATAAGAAAATTGTGTAATAAATAAGTCCTTGACTTAGCAATCACAATCGGGACCAGAATTTCTACTGCTAAGCAAGGAGGTTGTTAAGTGAGTAATACTCAATTTTGTGATCTATTTTGCCATCTTGCAAAATGAATCATTGATCTGCTTGCGGGAAACTGGCTGGGGTGGTCACAAATGGTGATCAGGATGCGATAAATAATATCCCATTGTTGAGAGCCTAAATTTTGACCATGGGAATGCTGTGACACTCTTTAAGTGTAAGTCACTTTTTTCTGTGCTGCCATAACTGAACGGTCACTAAACAAACCATAAGTTGAAGACTATATTACTTTAATAAACAGTATTATCAATGAAAATAACATTCACTCCATGATACATCATATTATATATAATATAATATATTTAATATATTTATAACAGTCTGCACATAACATTAAGAAGGGTTCCTCCATCCCTTCTGTGAATTATAGTTAGTCCTCGACTTAAGACCACAATTGAGCCCCAAATTTCTGTTGCTAAACAAGACATTTATTAAAGTGAGTTTTTCCCCCTTTTATAGCCTTTCTTTCCACAGTTATTAAATGAACCACCGCCATTGTTAAGGTAGTAACATGGTTGTTAAATGAATCTGGCTTCCCCTCTGACTTTTCTTCTTATAAGGTCACAAAAGGTGATAACACTGGGACACTGCAATCGTCATAAATACATGCCACTTGAGACTTTCAAGAAGAGATTGGGCTGCCATTTGTCAGAAACAGTGTAGGGCCGTGATGGCGAAGCTATGGCATGTGTGCCACAGGTGGCACGCAGAGCCATTTGTGCCAGCACATGAGCTGCAGGCAAACTTACCTTACTGGGCATGCGCGTGCTTCACAGCTGATTTTTGGCTGATTTGAGGCCTTTTTTGGCCTCCCAAAGGCTTGAGGAAGGCTTTGCAGGCTGAAGATTAGCCCCGTTTCATCACTTCCAGTATTTTTGGAAAAACAGGAAGTGGCAAAATGGGGCTAGTTTTTGGCCTGCAAAGCCTGCAGAAGCCTTCCTCAAGCCTTTGGGAGGCTGAAAAAGGCCTCAAACTGGCCGAAAATAAGCTGTGAGGCACAGTGCAGGTAAGGGGGCAGTAGGGGTGGATGGGTGGGGATTACATGCGCATGTGTAGGAGGCGTGAGGGTGTGCATTGCCTTCTGGGAGTTGTCACGCGAATGCAAGTGTGCAAACGTGCACAATTTTTGGCACAGGAGCCCAAAAAGATTAGTCACCACTGGACTAGATGACCTACAAGCAAACGTGGTATTCAGCAGGCTCTGACCAGTTCTGGAGGAGCAGTAACGGAAATTTTGAGTAGTTCGGAGAACCAGCAAATCCCACCTCTGACTGGCCCCACCCTCATCTATTATCTGCCTCCCAAGTCCCAGCTGATCGGCTGTGTCTTCTTTTGTTGCCCTGCACAGGAGAATGCAGCTGGAAAGCAGGTTAGTGGGGTGGGGAGGGAATGGGGATTTTACAGTATCCTTCTCCTGCCATGCCCACCAACCCACGCCCACAGAACCAGTAGTAAATTTTTTTTAATCCCACCACTGCCTACAAGGTCCCTTCCAACTCTGTTAATCTGAATGCTAGGATTAGCTCTCAAGATCCAAACCATTAGTCCAAATTTTGATCACGTGACCACGGGAATGTTGCAACAGTCGTAAGTGTGAAAAACGGGCTTCAGTGACTTTTTTCAGCGGCAGCATAACTTTGAATGGCCACTAAATGAATGGTTGGAAGTCAAGAGCTATCTGTAATTCGCAGAATGGATGGAATAAGCCCTTCTTAATAATGGTCTGTGTGTGAATCCAGGTGTGTCCTGCTCAAGCAAGGAAAACCCACAGTTGAACACACCATCAGACTGAGTCAAACCACTGGTCATTCTGACACCCGAGAAAGCCCAAATGGAGACTTTTCCAAGCAAGACATGCATGCAAACAAGAGATGGGGCTTCAAACACACCCCAACTTCGTTGTCCTTCTGCTTCCCCAGGGATTATTTCAAAATCCCATTCAACCATTTGTTTAGAATGGGGCAGTGTAAAAGTCACTGTGACAAATGAATGGCTCCCTTCAGAGCTTTCTGAGATTGGAATTAATCTCCTTCAGTGAAGGGCAACTCGATTTCTTCCACTCCCAACAGCACTGGTATGAATTAAAAAGAAAGCTGCCGTGGACAACTTGGGCTGGTAGAAAACGCAACACACTTTACCTACGCAATGTTGATGTTGCTGAAGAACAACCCCAAACTCAATGTAGAAGCCATGGTGGGGAAGTGGTTAGGGTGCATTACTGCAGGCTACTTCTGCTGACTGCTGGCTACCTCTAATTTGGCAGTTCAAATCGCACCAGGCTCAAAGTTGACTCAGCCTTCCATCCTTCCGAGGTGGGTAAAATGAGGACCCAGATTGTTGGGGGGAATAGGCTGGTTCTGTAAACCACTTAGAGAGGGCTGTAAAGAGCTGTGAAGTGGTATATAAGTTTCAGTGCTGTTGCTATTGTTATTTGTGCTAGCACAAGATAAATCTCAGCTCTTCTGCCATGGGCACTTCACCTTGAAATCCGGTTTAATAACAAAAGGCACGAGCAACAGCCTCTGAAATCAACTGAGGAATAATGCTGTTGAGTACAAGGTGGTCCTCAAGTTACAACCACAATGGATCCCAAAATTTAATGTTGCTAAGTGAAAAATTTGTTAAGTGAGTTTGTCCCATTTTTACGACTTTTCTCACCACATTCGTTAAACGAATCACTGCAGGTGTTAAATTAGTTACACGGTTGTTAAATGAATCTGGTTTCCCTATTGTCAAGAGGTTGCAAAAGGGATCACATGACCATCATAAATCAGTTGTTAAGCATCCAAATGAAAATCACGTGACCATGGGGATTCTGCAACGGATATGTGAAACATGGTCATAAATTACCTTTTTCAGTGCCACTGTAACTTTGAATGGTCGTTAAGTGAATTTTGTAACTCAAGAATGACCTGTATAAGTTTGCTTTGTCATCTCTTCCATCTCTATGATCTTTCTTAACTGAGAACTGAAGACACATAGGACTCCAATCTTGCTAACTGGGAATTAAAGATCCTAGTGGGGGCATCAGGTCTGGGTTGGCTGTTCTACAAGTATACAAAGATCTTGGACTTACTCAAAGTCAGTTTCATCCTGTAGAGTGATCACAGGCTGGAAGTCTAGGTTTCTCTTACGCATTCCTAGAAGGCACACAGTTTCTGGAGTATTGGCAAATACCTTTCCTATGGAGGAGGAAAAAACAGTTTTAACCACAGGAAGTGTGACAAAATAGTACATATTAACTGCAAAAGACTATATAGGGAGGGGAAAAGTGTTAGAGGAGCCCTCAAGGTATGTTTAATCTGGGTTAGTTATTAAAATTGTACAACAAGGAGAACGTAAATGGGAATTATGAAAACTTGGAAATTAGGATGAGCCAAACAAGGGGATGGTGATAATTAATAATGAATGAATGTTCAAAATTAGTATTTTTTTTAAAGAACTTCTTTAAGCACGAAGGTCTGCTTTTTCCAGTGTTGATAAAATTGAAAATCCATAAATATGTTACCTTCTTCTGTGTTCCATGAAGCCATCGGAAGCAAGGAAAAACAAGAAAGAATATTTGTGACAAAATAAATTTGGTTGCCTGTTATTTAAAAGACATACCCCGGAAGCTAAAACCTGGGAAAAGGAGAGTGCTGGGCAAAGAGTATCTTGGTACCACAAATCTGAGGAGTTTGGAAGGATAGTAATTTTCATTCCAGCCTTAAAGCTGAAGCAGACTTTTCCAGCATTGCATGTGAGGCAATGTAGGTATCTGTCATGAGGGGATGATTGCATAGGTGGGTTGTTGTGGTTGTATTTTATCCTAAGTGAATTTTAAGGTTCTGATTAGGGGGTGCTGAAACAGCAAACCACTGAACAGGAACTCAGATCAACCAATAAGCACGCAGGACGTGCACCACCACAAAATGCAGGTGGGTTGGGATCCATCAGATGTTTATGTTGTCTTGTCTGCAGTCCTCTGCAGCCTCCACTTACTCATTAACTCTTTCGCAGCATATACATTGATGGATATTGGCACCTATATGCAACTCTAAATCAGACTTAACACAGGGTTGTTGGGGGAGGGGGAAAGAGGGGGCACTTTATACGCCACTTTAAACTCCTGAATGGAAGGCAGGACATAAATATAACAAACTAATGTGTAATTTTATAGAATTCCATAATATTTTTATAGGATTAAAAGCTATAGATACATAAAAAGGGCATTCTATAGACCAGGGGCCTTCAGACTTGACAGCTTTAAGACTTGTGGGTTTCAACTCCCAGAATTTCTCCTCCAGTCATGTTAGCTCAGGAATTCTGGGAATTGAAGTCTACAAGTCTTAAACTTGCCAAGTTTGAAGACCCTTGCTATAGACTAATATTTTTCAAACTTGGCAACTTAAAAGTATATGTAAAAATGCTGAGACTCTAGAAGAAGTGCAGAGAAGAGCAACAAAGTTGATTAGGGGACTGAAGGCTAAAACATATAAAGAACGGTTGCTGGAATTGGGTATGTCTAGTTTAATGAAAAGAAGGACTGGGGAGTGGGGTGACATGATAGCAGTGTTCCAATATCTCAGGGGTTGCCACAAAGAAGAAGGAGTCAATCTATTCTCCAAAGCACCTGAAGGCAGGGCAAGAAGCAATGGGTGGAAACTAATCAAACAGAGAAGCAATCTAGAACTAAGGAGAAATTTCCTGATAATTAGAACAACCAAACAATGGAACAGCTTGCCTCCAGAAATTGTGGCAGCTCCATTATTGGAGGCTTTTAAGAAGAAATTGGACAACGATTTGTCTGAAATGGTGTAGGGTTTCCTTCCTGTGCAGGGGGGTTGGACTAGAAGACCTCCGAGGTCCCTTCCAACTCTGTTATTATGTTAAGCATGCTACTGGAAGTTGAAGTCCACACATCGTAAAATTGCCAAGTTTGAAAAACACATTTTTTGATGCAGCCACAGCAGTTTTCCAGATCTTCTGGCTATCCAGTTCCATCCCTCCAATGATCATAGTTGTTGACATGTCAGGTTAAGAGATTAGCACTGGGTTGCAAAAGTTGATCCAGACTATCAGCTACAAAACCCAGCCTTGTTGAAAGCAACAGCAACATTGAATCCCCCTATATAAAACATACAGCCTATTTGTTGAGTGTTTAGCTGGAGATCAATGAAACCAAATTTGAAGAAAATTAATCCTCCTCTTATTCCTGCCTCCCAAACTGCCCAGGATTCTTGCTAGGATGGCTGACTTGGATTTCCTGAAATAATGGAAGGTTCGCTAACTGAATCCGATACCACTCAAAATATAATTTAACTCATTTGAGGCTGCTTTAAAGAAGCATATTTTGATGCTTTAGCCCTTGTACATGTAAGCAAGGAATTACTCTTAACAGCACTATAAAGAGACCCCTATTCTGTGTGTAAGTGAATGGGTCTGCATTCATGGCTATGTGCACAGTTAAAAGTCTCGATTTTATGGAACCTTAGTTGAATACTAAATATTAGAAATGTGAGAAATATCCTTTGCACAAAATAGGTGGTCTCGGCCCAAACCAGAAGTTTGGTCCATAAGTAAAACAGAATGGGGAGAATATGTTCTATAACAAAGCACGAAGGACAGGAAGGGGAAGAATAAAATGAGAAGATAGAGCAGAGGTGGTACTCAGCAGGTTCTGACCAGTTCTGGAGAACCAATAGCAGAAATTTTTAGTCGGAGAACCAGCAAATACCACCTCTGACTGGCCCCGCCCCCATCTATTCTCTGCCTCCCAAGTCCCAGCTGATTGGCTGGGTCTTCTTTTATTGCCCTGCACAAGAGAACGGAGCTGGAAAGCAGGTTAGTGGGGTAGGGAGGAAATGGGATTTTGCAGTATCCTTCCCCAAGGACTGGGGTGGGAATGGAGATTTTGCAGTATCCTTCCCCTGCCATGCCCACCAAGCCACATCAACCAAGCCACGTCCATAGAACTGGTAGTAAAAAATTGTTTGAATCCCACCACTGAAATAGAGGCAAATGAGCCAGTCAGCAGAGATGATTGAAAGGAAGACCAAACCCAGAACAAAGCCAGATCGGTCCACTCATAGCTCAGGAAAGGAAATGGCAGAGAAGAGGGATGATATACTCAATCACTCTGGATTCTCTCTCATTTTTATTTTGACCCAAACCCAGAATAATCAAAATATGTTGTGTGTGTTTTTATTTCTGCTGAATTTTAACTAACCCTAAAAGGTCTAACAGAATTTCTAGAATGGGGCAGTTTGCTTTGGATTTGGGATAAAAGTCTCTTATTTCATTTCATGGACATTCCTACTAAATATTATGACATAGAAAATAATAAAAGAGAATATTTATGTAACTCAGGGTTGAACTGAGGGGCTATTTGGTGCTCTCTGAGCTTGGATGTTTTCCTACAGAAGTTGCCTTATCAGTGAAATGAGCAGAATATAAATTTAATAATAAAACAATTTTATAAAATCATTTAATTTCCAAACATGGTCCTACTGCTTCTCAGGTCCAATGGCAATTTGCAATTGATTATTAAACCAAGCCATGAAATACATCTAACATTTCCTTACCTCTTCGGTAGTTTTCTTTCAGTTGTTTCGAGATCCACAGCAGAGCTTTTGCTGCTATTTTTGTCCCAAAGTTTCTATCAAATGGAGAAGGAGCACCACCCTGTGAAAATCAACACAATTTAACAATGAAGTTGCCTTCCAGATTTTATTTTTTAGAAAGGTGGGGGTGGGAAAAACTATGAGGCGGATGTATTTGTGGGTTAGAAAAATGCACAACTGTAGAAAAAGAATCACATTTGTCTAAGCGTAGCAGGTAACACTTTGTAAGTTTGAGCAGTTGCTAAACAAATGGCTGTAAGTAAGGACTCCCTGTAGTTTAAAAAACTTTTTGTTTGTAAATAAAATGAGTTAATATATGAAGATGCTGGGAGATGCTTCCCGTTTTTATACTTGCACAAGATTCATAATCTCACATTTATCTCACAGAACGAGGCATAGCCCAGTGCATTCATATTTTCCCCCAGGAGATGATGTATTTGCGTTCTTCATTCCTCATTCCGACTTGGTGCCTGTCTCCCATCCCCAGCCATCCTGGAAACTTCAACTCGTACAGTTCCCAGCAGCACTGGCTACTGATAACTTTGGAGACCAGTAAGTAATAACAATAATGTTTAGACTTATATACCGAATGCTTTGTAGAGCTTTACAGCCCTCTGTAAGCAGTTTTACAAATGTCAGCCTCTTGCCCCCAACAATCTGGGTCCTCATTTTACCAACCTTGAAAGGATGGAAGGCTGAGTTAACCTTGAGTCCCCCAGGATAGAACTCCAGGCTGTGGGCCAAGTTTACCTGCAATACTGCATTCTAACCATTGGGCCACCATTCAAAGAAATAAATTATTGGGTTTCATTAGTGTTTTAACTTTTAATGTCTTTTCCATAGTTTGCTGGCAACCTTGAGCACCAGTGCTAGAGTTGAAAGGACATAATCAAATTAGTCAATCAACACATACAGCCTAGAGAAATACGCTACTTCAGTGAGAATCACAATCAGATAATCACTGTGGCTATATGGTCCATAGAATATTTACCATGGCATACAGTGATAATTTCTCATTTCTTCTGATTTATTTTCCTAAGAAATATTGGCATCTGGTCTCTTAAGAGTTACATCATCTGGGTTGTTTTGTTAGCTAGGACTTGAATTAGACTGCAATAAAGTCACAGAAGCTTTGTAGAATGCTTCTGTTCAGTGATGAAATCCTTACACCTACTTAACAACTGCTACTAAAAAAAAAAGGACTGAAATTATTAGAAAAGATTAAACTTCTCTAATGCTAAATTAAGCAGCAACAGCTAACTAACAGCCATCTAGAAGTGGACACTCTGCTTGCTGTTAGAGATATAGAAAGCTGCTTTTGTACATGGCTCCAACCTATTAGGGCCTCTTGTATTGTCCTTATTGGGTTAAAAGAAGCATCCCAACAACCCTCTTATCCCGATCTGGAGTACTTAGCCATTCTCACCTGCTGCATATGCCCCAGCACATTCTTTCGACAATCAAAGACCCCTTTGCCTTCTTCCGAATAGAGCTGATAAATGAAGTCAGTTGTGTAGTTCTCGCTACTATTTTCATTCCTGTGTAATCCCCAAAAAGCATGGCTTATTTATTTGACACAGTTTTTCTATACTATTGTATTTCTGCACAAGCACTTTGGGAAAGTGAAATGGGATTTCTGGTTAGCTTCTGTAATGGTAGGCGAGAAAGACCCTTGAGACGCAGGACAATCAAAACGAGACTCAGAAAGGACCTTCCCTCAGATTTTAAAGCAAATGGTGAGAGATTTGTATTTTCAATCTTGCAAAATTCAGTTAATGTAATATAATAGAGCTGACAGCCTTATTATTAAGTATAGTTAGCTCATTTAGTCTTATTGCCTGCCTCATCTACCTGTGAAGCTGACATCAAACTTGTAAGTCTAAAACTATAATCCCCCACCCCCACTATAGCTCTCCTTGATTAGAATAGAATAACAGAGTTGAAAGAGACCTTGGAGGTCTTCTAGTCCAACCCCCTGCCTAGGCAGGAAACCCTACACCACTTCAGACTAATGGTTATCCAACCTCTTCTTAAACATTTCCAGTGTTGGAGCATTCACAACTTCTGGAGGCAAGTTGTTCCACTGATTAATTGTTCTAGCTGCCAGGAAACTTCTCCTTAGTTCAATGCTGCTTCTCTCCCTGATTAGTTTCCACCCATTGCTTCTTGCCCTGCCTTCAGGCGCTTTGGAGAATAGATTGACTCCCTCTTCTTTGGGCAGCTTCTGAGATATTGGAACACTGCTATCATGTCTCCCCTAGTCCTTCTTTTCATCAGACTAGACATATCCAGTTCCTGCAACTGTTCTTCACATGTTTTAGCCTCCAGCCCTCTAATCATCTTTGTTGCTGGAGAAGTTTGGGAGGGTTCTCTCTGAGTCTGTTTCTCCATCCATTATGCAGCTGAGGGATATGCCCTCTCTCATTTGACCATCCTTTGGGTAGCAATTTTCACCTCATCTCTTAAGGACTTTCTTACATGCCATTACATGCCATTTCCCACTCAAACAATGCCCTGATAGAGACCTGCCTAGTTTGAAAGAGCAAAAAAAGAACAGAGCAAATGTCAATTTACAAGGTAATCGCTCTTCAGATAAATAATTGATTCAAGTGCATTCTTCACTCTTGCTAAAAATATTATCAACCTTTACATCTACTTCTCTTCAAGAGATAAGTTTATCTCTCTGCATATAAGAAGGCTGGCCACAAAATGAGCATGCATCAAAGCAAAAACACCCAACGTAGCATCAGCACCTGACCAATCTGGGTGATTGCCAAGGGAGCACCCTTGTGATTGAAAGAGGCTATGTCCACCCTACCAACTTGTCTTTTTTTTTTTAACACTGTGCACCATGCACTATTGAACAGCTTCCAAAAATATCCAGAATTACATCTAAAATAGTGTTTCTCAACCTTAGCAGCCCTACAACCAGTGGTCTTCAACTCCCAGGATTCAAACACACCTTAAAGTCCACATCTTATGGACATTGAAGTACACACATCTGAAATTCTGGGAGATGAAGTCCACACACATCTTAAAGCTGAAGTTGAGAAAACCTGTTCTGAAATAATGGGAATCAAGAAAAAAAAGAGATCTCACCTCCACCTGTTATAAATGGCAGTACTTCAGCTACAGGGTTCTGATGCTAAGGAAAGGGATTTGGATTAAGAGCAAGTTCTGTCTTCCCTGAACTGGAATTACCGAATGATCCAGCCAGATATTGTCTCCTCTGCCAGCCAGGAACCGTTGAAGCATCAGTTGTGTAGACTTAGCTAATAACTCTAGATCATGAATGTGCAACTTTTGTGGAATGAAAGGTGGACTTTGTTCTGGATTTATTGCAGATTATGCTTCAAAAATAATGGGTTGGGCCAACAGAAAAACTTAACCTGCATAATAATTTTTGACTTATGACCACAATTGAATCCAAGCTTTCCATTGCTAAATAAGACAGTTGTTAAGTGAGTTTTGCCTCCTTTTACAAGCTTTCTTGCCACAGTTGTTAAGTGAATCACTGCAGCTGTTAAGTTAGTAATATGGTTGTTAAGTGAATCTGGCTTTCCCATTGACTTTGCTTATCAAAAAGTGATCACATGACCCTCCAACCATCATAAATATATGCCATTGCCAAGCATTTAAATTTTGATCACGGGGATGCTGCAATGGTCATAAATATGAAACGGTCATAAGTCACTTTTTCAGTGCCATTATAACTTCAAATGGTCACTCAATGAATAGAAGGACTACCTGTAGTTCCATTGACAATTCTATTAATACAATTAAAATTAAATATTGGGATTGTGCAAAAAAAAAATCAGCTTGAAAGGCTATTCTGAGCGTGGTTCAGTTAAACCTGTGGGACAATTTGCAATTACATTGCTTTTGAGCAAGTACTTTTTTTCTCCAAAATCTGAGAGTTCAAATTAATATGCTCAGATTGTCCTGAACAAGAACATCCTGTTGAATGGAAGCCCTGTAAATATTTTGAACTGAGTCAATGAACTGGATTGGATTATGAGGGCATCCATCCCAGTTATTAATTATAAAAGGCATTTTTTTTTCTTCTGTCCCCCTGAAAATTACATTCTGATAGTAACTTTTGGAAATGCTTAGCTTTAGATGTTCCAAATTCTCCTTTGATGCTCCTGTGCTTGACATCTTTTATTACGAAATGCCAAAGCCTGAGCCTGTACTTTTTCATCATTTTTAGAAGAAATCTATTCCTTCATATCGGAAAAGTTATTTGCCTCTTTTTTTCCCTACAACATGCCAGGTATCACTTTCATTGGACCTGAAAGTTATGCCTATGAATGTTCACTTACCTGAGTACCAAGCCTCGCTGAATGTTGGTTTTCATCTTTTCGGTCAGATGTTCCACATTGGCCTGCAAAATAAAGACCATTTTTTCCTCATCTTTTGAACCCAAAGAAGGAATAATCATCCTGTTCAGCATTGTTATCTTTAACTGGCTGTACATTAAACCTATTCAAAATTGCATAGGCTTTCCAAATAATATGTAAGGATTAAACGAGAAACTTCAATTTTAGGTTCCTGGTTCAGCTAGAGATCTAAGGGATGTCGGCTGTGGGTCTTCTTATGAACTTTTAAATTTCGTATAGTACTTTGCGTTCTTTTTCATTTAACAGCCATACATATTCTAAGAAACTGCCAACAACATATGCCAAATAGCAGTATCACTTAGACTTATATACCACTTTATAGTGCTTTATAGCCCTCTCTAACGGGTTTACAGAGTCAGCATAATATTGTCCCCAACAATTTGGATCCTCATTTTACCCACCTCAAAAGGATGGAAGGCTGAGTCAACCTTGAGTCAACCCTTGGTCTTTTTGAACTGCCAAACTACAGGCAGCTGGCTGTTAGCAGAAGTAGTTTGCAGTACTTCACTCTAACCACTGTGCCACAGAGGCTCTCAAATATTGCAAGGAGATCCTTAGTACATCTTGTTATCATTCTGCATCTTATCTTTTCAGTTATTTGCTATAGTTATGCAGTCACACGAATAATACAAACTGGAAAGCCTGCAGCCATAGACAAGGCAGCTAAACATACTGGCTACCATTGCCCTCCTTATCAGACACTCATATTGGCAAGGCATTTGGACAATCTTAAGTATTGTACAGGTGTGTGAAAGAGAACAATCTTGAAAATCTAAAAGCCCATTTCTCCCCCAGGCTTCCTTTACTACTCGAGAAACTAGGGAGGGTCTCTTCTCAGCCTCTTGCTTCACGTAGTAACTATCCAGTTGCATATTAAGCTTGCCTCAATTGTATCTCGTCCTGCCCCCACCCCTCAAGGTCTTTCTCACATTAACCCAGAGGGTTAATGTCATTGCCCAGAAGATCATTGGTTGCCCAATCCACTCCTTGGAAAAGCTTTATAGCTCTTGCTGCCTTAAGAAAGCTCAAAACATTCTCAAAGATCCATCTCATCCCGGGCAGGCTTTGTTTCAACTATTACCATCTGGCAAACAGTAGAGAATAATAAAAATAAGGACAAATAGGCTGAAAAACAGCTTCTATCCCAGGGCAGTAGCTCTTTTGAATTCTGCTGTATAGTGCAGTGTTGGTGTGGTGTCGGGGGTTTCCAGTTCAATGTGTGAAGAGTGAAGGATGTGTGTTTGTGTTTATTTTCATGGTCATGATGTGCACTGAAGATGGTGTTTGATTTCGTTGTACTTGGTGCAATGACAATCAAGTAAAGTAAACTAAACTAAACATACTATCACAAACATTTCAAACCAGCATTTCAACTTAATAAAGTTAATAAAATACTAATGTTCTTATCATCACTAGCCCCAGCGAAGTATAGGTAGTTCTTGACTTATGACCAAAATTGAGCCCCAAATTTCTGTTTCTGAGAGACAGACGCTTTGCCCCGTTTTACAAATTTTCTTAGCACAGTTAAGTGAATCACTACAGTTATTAAGTCAGCAACCCGGTTTTTAAGTGAATCTGGTCTCCCCATTAACTTGTCAGATCACAAAAAGTGATCAGATGACCCCAGGACAACACAACCATCATAAATATGTTTCCGTGCCAGGTGTCTGAAATTTGATCATGTGACCAGAAAGATTCTGCAATGGATATATGAAAAATGTTTATAACTCAATTTTTTTCTGGCCATTGTAACTGAGTGATCACTAAATGAATGTGTCAACTAAAAAATACTACTTTGGTCTTTTCAGTTGCGAGCAGAAAGGGAGTGGGGGAAAACAGTGCATTCCTTAAATGCCTCAGATTATCGCCTTGGCAGCCAAAGCTGTGGTACGCAATATTATTACTGGAGAAAATGATTGATGACTCTTGGCTATGGATGTGTCTCATTGGAGAATATACATCCAGGGGGTGGGGGGAAGACCAGGGTCAAGGATGAAATGAGTGATGTGTCAGAGTCTGCTGACATGTAATAAATCAATCTTTTTTTACTTTGAGAGATGCGGCTAGAGACTTGTGATTTGAATGGAGATGCATGTTGGAGCCCTGACAAAATGGTTGTAAGTCAAGGACCACCTGTATAATCGCACAACCTGATTCTGGACCAATGAGAATTCATATACTAGTTTAAAAGATCAATGAGGACCATTGAGAATTCATATACTAGTTTAAAAGATCATCTGAACAAAAGGTTTCAGTAGTCATCACATAACACTTATCATATACACAACCTTTATCATTTGATGGCTACTGTATCAACTGATGAGCTGTAGATGAAAGTCAGCTCCAGTATAACCAAAGAAGTAGGTCTTGTGGATTAATGTAGATATCAACAACCAAATAATAGGATACCAGAGATAGTCCTCGACTTAGTTCACTGAAAAAAAGTAACTAGTGAACGTTTTCCACACTTATGACCATTGCAGTATCCTCCATGGTCATGTGATCAAAATTCAGATGCTTGGCCATTGACTCATATTTATGACGGTTGCAGTGTCCCAGGGTCACCTATTACGACCTTCTGACAAGCAAAGTCAATGGGGAAGTCAGATTCACTTAACAACTGTGTTGCTAACTTAACAGCTGCAGTGATTCCCTTAACAACACTGGCAAGAAAAGTCATAAAAGGGGTGGCAAAACTCACTTATCAAGAGTTAGCAACATAAATTTTGGGCTCAACTGAGGTTGTAAGTCGAGGACCACCTGTGTAGAGTAGTACGTGAAAGTAGAACTCAACCCACCAGCGAGGAATAAGGAGATGGAGACACTGCCTACCTGAAGCTCCCGAATGTCAAATTTTTCTTCAAAAATATAGGCAGCATCTGCACCTGCAGCCAAAGCCCCCATGTTAGCCAGGTAGCCACAGTAGCCTCCCATGGTCTCAATGATGAATACACGTCGTTTCGTCCCACTTGCTGATAGTTTGATTCGGTCACAGGTCTATCGAAGAAAGATCTGTTAGCAACTGGTATAAAAACATGCTTGCCGACTTTGAAAGCTGTTTTGTAGTATCATCTAGGCCACACACAATTCCATTTGTGAACATGTTATAAAAACATTAAGCAGAGCAGATATTATTTTAAAAGTGCTTAAATTTCGTTTCCTGGCCTTTTACAATCCAGCTCCATTTAAAAAAAAACAAATGAACCACCATAATGTTAACTATTCTTGGCACAAAATGGCTTTTTTTTTTAATAAAAAAGAAACTTAACTAAATGACCATGCTCTTGTTTCTAAGAGAGATAGAAAAGAAAAATCTTGTCTTCTAATACAGGGTAATTAATTTGTATAACAGGAAAAAAAGCCACTGAAATATTCAAAAGGGATGAAACTGCAGCAATTCTGGCTCAATTTCAACTTCTAAAAGGCATCCTGAACAAACAAAATAAAAATATGTCATGCTTCTGGACAATGTTTAGGGAAAAATTAATAGCTTGATGTGGGATTCCTGCATTTCGTCCTTGGAAATTGCTGCACTCTGGGGTCAAGATCTAAATCCTTAGAAGTGAAGTTTGGAAGAGAATGTCTGTTCATCCCGGGAAGTTTTGTAATAATTATCCAGGTATTATGAAGCTAAACTCCCTTTCTGTAAACTGAGTAGAGTTCAACTAAGAAGGTCTAGAGGACTTTTGAATGCTGGGAGAAAAAGCTGCTCAAGGAAATCAGCAGGCTACTCAGTTGAGCAATTAAAATCCAGCTTAGCATCTATCAAGCTGCAGATTCAATTCAACCAGGCCTACATCAACCACATGTCAAGTTCATACTTATCCTTCATAACCTTAATAACAGAGTTGGAAGGGACCTCTGAGGTCTCCTTGTCTCAAGCAGGAGATCCTATGCCATTCCAGACAATAGATTATCCAGTCTGTCCATTCTGAGAGACTAATTCTAAAGGAGGAACTTGGAGGAATCCTTGCTCCTTTAGAAGCAAATGAAGCTCCAACTGATCAGGGAGAGAATCTTGTATGAATATGTTCACGCTGGCGTTTTTCATTCCAAAGCCATGTTCTTAAGCATCTGCGTGGCAATGGAGAACCAGAAGGATGTGGTTCCAGCAGAATTGCACAGGTTGTCTGTTTCAGGTTTCACACATCTTCTATGCTACTCTTTCTCAAACTGGGCAACATTAAGATGTGTGGATTTTAATTCCCAAAATTCCTTAACCAGCAAGTCCACACTAAATGCATCTTCTGGCACTTGAAGTCCATATATCTTTACATGTTCTGGAAGTTGAAATCTATATATTTTAAAACATCTTCTAGCATTGAAGTCTGCACGTCTTAAAACTGCCAAGTTTGAGACTCCTTACCCACATCCCTTTGTTCTTCTTGGTGATTTTCATTTGCCATAAATTAATTGGGCCTTAAATTAATCAACAAATGAACTGATACATGTAAGTTTTTTACAATGCTGTTACAACCTTAGGGCTGGGGCAGTTAGTTGTTGACAACACTAGGCTCAACAACCGTTTAGATCTAATTCTCTGTAATAGCTTAAATTTAATTTATGGCTTACATATTAAAGAATCCTTTTCTAACAATGGTCATAATAAGATTGACTTTTACATTAATCTGTATCCTCTGGTCTTAATGACTGTTCTTCAAATTATAATTTTAAAACAGAAAAAGATCAGGAGTTAGTAGAAAGTTGATACAAGCAAGAGAGAGATTAAAATAACAGAGGACAGAGCCCTAGAATGCATTCTTGCATTCTAAACATCAAGAAGAAGTGAACTGGTTTCACTGATACATACCTTGCTTTTCCCCTAAACTAAATTCGGATTAGACCAATAATTCAAAGAAAACGCTTGAAGCCAGGAACTAACAGATCATTCGTGGTCATCATCAATATTATCCTACACCATTCATATTTATGGATGCCAAAGATGACAGAAAGAGATCATCATTTTATGTTGAGCTTGGGAGGAAGCAGAACCAGGCCAAAGATAAGCATTTATAAGAACATTCTCCTTTCACTTCTGGTCGAGCAATGAGAGGGTAGCTTCTTGTATCAAAGTGATTTGGGAAAGCAAAAGATTGTGCATAAAACATTTGTCACTAATGTTTACTCTTTGGGTTTATGTAAAGTTGAATACATGCTGCCCATATCCATGTGGCTTTTATTATGTTTCAAAGGATGCAGATTGTACATTAAGGAAATTAACATTTCTACTGCAATGGTGAAGTGATGATCTGCTAATTTTGTGCACCAAATGCTTTCAGTCTTTTCTGATAGGAAGACTGCACTCTTTCTTATTTTGCATCACTCCTGGGGCTGCAGGGAGCAACCATTTAATCCTTCCCAAGTAATAGTTAACTGAACACTAGCAACAGATCATGCTATCCGTACATTCCAGCCATCTCCTAAGACTGTCATTTCAATTCTTGCCCTATTTTTTTGGAGCCAGCTTGGCTGGTTTTAATAAAATGTATTGCCAAATTAAAATGGCATTTTTCAAGATAGAATGGGTTACTGTTTTATTTCTTTCACTCCAGTCAAAACCCTTTACTCTGAAAAAAATAAGATTTCTATAGCCTTGTACATAAAAGCATTAGTTGACAGATTTAGCTTTTCGCAGAGAAGCAGTGACTATCTTCCATTCATTCATCGGTTGTGGCAGCTATAAGCAAGGGCCCTCAACTAGGAGCATAGCCTTTTGGGTGCACTGAAGGAAAGAGCTCAGCTTTTTTATGTTTGAAAGCCATTAAAAGAGCACAAAGAGAATTCAGAGAGCACAAAGAGAAAGAAGCAACACAGCCTGAATATATTCCTGAATATATTCTTTTTCCGACAGTTCACTTATTGAAATATGAGGTGTCTTTCTGGGAAAAAAATCTTTAGCCACCCCAGGCAAAAGAAGAAGAAAACTCAGTGCGGCTCATGTTTGTTAGGCTGGGCTTCAGGAACTGCCATATTATGGACATCCGACAATGTTAGTGAGGTTGAAAGTTTTAGATTGCACAATATGTAAGTTTCTCTGTATTGATCCACAGGTAGTCTTTATTTAAAGTCCACTGGTTCAGCTACTATTTAAAATTTGAATGATGTCTATGGTGATTCAGTCACCCAGGTCATGGTTAACCCAAAGGTGCTTTTTCAAGAGGCAACTGGACTTTCTTGGCTTTTCTTTGAAGATGTTTCACTTCTCATTCAAGAAGCCGTTTTATCTGTTTTTGTTGGAAGTTGAGGAGAACATATTTAGTCCTTGTCCAAAGATGCTTTTTCAAGAGGCAACTAGATTTTCTGGTTTTTCTGTGAAGACATTTCTTTGAAGACATTACCTTTCTCCTGTCTACAACACAGTCCCTTGAACAGTTCCAAGAAGGCTCCACACCCATTTGCACTACTCAGGTGACCCTGATGACACAGATAAACTTCCAGGTCGCCTCAATGACCCTCTAAAAGGATGCAAATAACCAGATGTCTGCAAGCAGTATAAATCCTTCCATTCCCCATCATCCAGTCAGAGTTGAATAAGCTCTTTGGATGAGATGTGAAATATCTTCAAAGAAAAACCAGAAAGTCCAGTTGCCTCTTGAAAAGGCATCTTTGGGACAGTTAGAATGGTGATGAACAAGGGCGACTTATGAAGGATCTTCACAGTTGCAGCATTGAAGTGTACCCATGATTTTGTGATCAGGCCCTTGGCAAACTGGTTCACAATTCTTATATGGCAATTTGTAACCCTCACTGCTGACTTGCAACAAGGAAAGTCAACAGGCAACTGGGACAGCTGGAACTACCATCATAAGTTAAGGTGGTCACATGACAGCATAACTTATGACCATATCTCTTAATAATAGAGTTCCTGCTCCAATTATCGTTTTAAGCAAGGACTTTCCCAGGGGTGGGATTCTACAGGTTCGCACCTATTCGCTAGAACCAGTTGTTAAGCAGTTCAGAGAACCAGTTGTTAGAATAAATTACTGGCCTAATCCTGTAAGGAAGGCAGGAAGAAAACATTCTGGTGTTGCTTACAGAAACTGCCTCTCCATTAACCTTTATTACATTCTTAGCAGGACTAGACTTCCTGTCTCAGGAACTTCTCTGGAGTTTTTTTCCCTCCTTTGCTGGTACTTTGCTTGTGTGGAGTGACCATTCAAAGTTACAATGGCACTGAAAAAAGTGACTTATAACCATTTTTCACACTTACGACTGTTGCAGCATCCCCACAGTCACAAGAGGCCAGCCGAGGAGATGTGTGCCTCGAAGTGAGTGATGTTGAGTTGGCCATGCCTAGCCAGTCATATGACCACCAAGCCAAACCCACCAACTAACCCCTTCCAGAACCGTTTGTTAAAAAAATTGAATCCCACCCCTGGATTTACCCAAATAGCTCATTTCAGAAAAAGCGAAATCGGATATAAAGAAGGACGCATGACTGGTCTTCAGAATGAAGAATTTTTAAAAGTCAGGTGGACACCCCATGTTATGACACCTTTGTGCAGTGCTCAGATTACATACCTATTTGAGGCAGCCCTGTTCTCACATAATAACACAAGTTCTTTAAAAGCAGAGTTAAGAATATCCACTGCCTCTTTCTGAGTCCTCTCTTACAGTGAGTGAAACAGCCTTAAAATCCCTCTAAAGGACACACATGGGTATTTTCAGGCTGTGTTATCTCAGCTGCGTTATCTGTATCTCTTTGCTGCTGTCTAATTATCATCTGAAGTTTTTCAGCCCATATATGGTATTCACTAACATTGATGGTTTTACCTAGTTTGGGTAATGAAAGTTCTGCAAGACCAAGGTCAGACAGCATATATGGTAGCCCTAGAACTTAATCTTCAACACATAAACACAAACACACATGCAAACAAGCCCTACCTCTAAGAAGCACAGAACTTGATCTGTACACATATTTGCAAGCTATTAGCAGGAGATTGCTAAAGGGCAGTCAAAAAGGAAAAATAAATACTTGAGACATAGTCTCAATTTGGAGGATATCCTCCAAATGGAGGATAATTTGGGGAAAATCCTCTCATAGTTTAGAATTGGGGTAAACCACTGGCCTAGGTACAGAAGATTGAAGACATTAAGGTGTTCTCATGTTAAATGTATGAGGCCTACTTCCCAAAATGTTAGTGGCTATAGGTTTAGATTGTTTATAAAATTCTCAAAAATTTGTTGATGATTGAGTGTTGAAGTTGGGAGATACAATGGAAACAAATGGTTTCATGTCAAGATAAACAAGCACCTTATCCTGATTATACAAAATTATAGAAAATTGAACGAAGAACTAATCTGCCCATAAAATTCCCCTAAGACCTAAGTTTATACAGTCTCAAATAGTTTGGTCTAGTACAGGGGTGTCAAACTCAAGGCCCAGGGGCTGGATCCTACCCACGGGGTTCTTAGATCTGTCCCATGGGACCACCCAAACAGCAGACCAGCTCGCAGTGCCTCTGCCAGCAAAACCGGAGCTCAGGTGCACCGCATGTGGTGCTCCCTACCTCTGTTTTCACTGGCAGAGGGTTGCAGGAGGCAGTCCCATCAGAAAATGGAGCTTGGGAGCCCATTTTCACCGGCAGAGCGCTCAGCCACCAGAGGTGCTACCAACACAAGTGACATCAAGGTGGCCATACCCATCCTGGCTACGCCCAACCAGGCCCTTGAGGTCAAACACAACCCTAATGCAGCCTTCAATGAAATCTAGTTTAACACCCCTGGTCTAGTGGTTAAGGCACCAGGCTAAATCAGGAGACTGTCAGTTCTAGTCCTGCCTTACGCTTTAAAGCCTGCTGGATGATTTAGGGCCAATCACTAGGTGACTGTGACTTCTATTCCCACCTTAGATACGAAACCCAGCTGAATGACTTTAGTATTCTCTCTCCGCCCAACCCCCTCACCGTGTTTTTATTGTGGGAAAATAGGAAAAGGAAAATGTATTAGGTACATTTGCTGCCTTAAATTATTTATAAAAAACAATAAAGGTGGGATAAAAATAAATGCATAGGAGACTTACATTATCATTTTTGATTACCAATTAGTCAGAATTCTACATATAACATTTTTACAGCAACTTACTGAAGTATCATTGATTTTTTTCTCAATTTAGAAAGAAAACCAACATAATGCACATTCTTTAGAAGACTCTAAAATGGCTTGAATAAGAAAGCTGGGTGAGTGACTTTGTGTCAGTGATCCTCTCTCCAAACCTCCTCATAGGTTTGTTAATGTGAGTGAAATAGGAAGCAGGGCATATTTGTTGTCTTGAGTTACATATAATTTGGGGGAAATATAAATAAAAAAGAGCAGAATAAAATAACAATATTAAACCTGGAAATGTTGCAGTGGAATTTGGGAACAAAATCTTATTTCTTATTTCTTCTCCACACCAGCTCTTTGTTTTGCAGGGCCGAGATTTTTCATTACACAACAGATACACATTTACATATGATAAAAGCAAAACATGTATTCAAATGTGAACCCCACACCTCTGTGGTTGCAAATAATAACAGAAGATCAATTGAAAGATTACTTAGATATTGCTGGGACAACAAATTCAATCAACAAGCAAAACAAAATCATTAATGATGCTTCCTTAGCACTGAATGTGATTTGTGATTTTAATATGGAGCAATTATTTTGGTAGAACTACCATCTAGCTACAATCTAGTCAGTAGAATTAAAAAGAAAATCCACAAATGATAATAATGATCAGTTAAGACAGACAAGAACATTGGTAAGAGAGAGAAGGACAGTAAGAAGCATGCAGTAAATATTCATTTTGGTTTTCATGTAAATGGCAGTGGAGAAATATTTTATACCAGAGCTGGAATCAAAAGAGCTTGACTTTAATTGTGTGGTTGTGGCCACCTTTTTCATGTTTTTGACCAATCTTACCTTTTTTTACTCCTCTCCCTCTAAATACACTGACAACTGACTATTTAAACAGCTGTTAGGTGTTTTGCTTTGGGCAATGAAAAATATTTCTCTAAAGTATTTTTTTTTTGTCCTTGTCAGCTACAGCCTAAAAAAACTCAAATCACAGCCCATCTTTCAAACGTCATGCAATTTTTTTTTTAAAGCACATTGTATAAAATGCACTCTCTAAAAAAAGAGAAGAATCAACAGAAATTGTGACCTGAGGCTTAATGCCAATTGAAATTATTATCTTCTAGAACATTTGTCTCCAAATGTCCATGCTAAATCATGCCCTAAATATTCCATACAAAGAATTTTTTGGTGCATAACAGCTGGTTTCAGGAGATCTGCAGTCAGACCAAAAAACAGATGTGAACAAATGTGTCTGTTTTGATGCAGGAAGGAGAGGCTGATGGGAGGGAAAATAGAAGATACTGGACAGCCAAAGGCAAAAGCTGGGAAACTGGAAGACTGTGAGTTTTAATCGCACCTTTGGCAGGAAAGTTAGTTTGGTGACCTTAAACAAATCACTAGGAAACCATGAGTTCTAGACCTAGCTAAGTGATTTTGGGCCAATCACCAAGAAATTGTGAGTTCTAGTCCTGCCTTGGACATAAAAGCTGGCCAGCGGACTTTGAGCTAGTCACTTGCTCAACCCAACCCATCTCATAGAGTTGTTATGAAGAAAATGGGAGGAAGAAATATCAGATATTCTTGTCACCTTAAGTTGCTTATAATAAATTATAAAGGTGGAATGTAAATAAATAAATAAAAATTAGCAGTGGAAGGGAGGAAGATGTGACACTGGAAAACTGGAGGGCTTGGCAGGATGATGGGACATTCCTCAATAGCCAAGAGGACACAGAGAAACAAAGAATTGAGAAGATGGGAAATGGCAGGAAAGCAGGATATGTCTCACCAGGGGATGCAGTGGTGGAAGAAGGAGTTTCCCATTCCACGCACACCCCTGTTTATAAAGCACCAGCCAATTATAAGCAATTGGTTATAAAACATGGAGGAATTTCTTGTTAAGATGCAAAAAATGGTTATGGGATTGTCTTTTATCAAAGTTCTGCTTTACATCTGACAAGCCTATGAGACAAAAATGTTAACATTCAAAACTTTGGTTTTGAATTGTATATAATAGTTAACAAAGCCTAGCATTGCATTATTGAAATACCCATCTGAACACATTTGCTATTCCTTTAATATTTTATTAAGTTCATAGGGTTGTTTACAATGCCTTAATGTTCAAAGCTGCATTGGAAATTTAAGGAAAGCAAATCAGATTCTTCCGACCAAACAATACAGAACAAACTAGAGATTTTGCTACATTAAAAACATTTTGCATGGTATAGTGATCATTTACTTTTAGATATCGAACCATCTCCTTCCTAGTATTTAATTGTCTTCCAGTTTTTGGAAAATCTCAGCAGCTGGCAACACCTAGCCATCCTTTGCTCAACCCCAAAAAATTAATTAGGGTTATACCTGAGTAAATATGAATGGGAGACTACCAGGACATTTCAGGGCTAGAAATTAGACTTGGAACATTAAAAAGATATATCAGAAAACAACAAAGAGAAAACAATTCCACATTGCTGGAAAAAATACAGAAATGTTTGAATAACCCCTGAAAAATTATGTCTTTGTAGGTTGTCTTTTTTTCAAAACTATATCTGTATTGATGCATATTTTGATATTGTTTAAATAACAGAGGTAGCTTTATGGAAATCAAATAGTGGATCAAACCCTGGAGTGTGCATTTTTATGAACAAGTCAATAAAATGTTAATTTTCACATTTTCTGAATCTGGTCAAACTGTCCCTATGTGCGCGCACATAGGTGTGTACATGCCTGTGTATGCATGTATGGATAGGCGTTGCATGCGTGTGATTTTAAGTGTAGGTCTGGTTTATGATGCAATCTTAGCATTCTGGTCTAAGAGAATCTCCCGTACCACATAAGCAGAAGGAAGGAAGGAGAAACTTACATCAGTGATAGTGTTCAGGGCAGTATCTGCACCAATGCTGAAATCAGAACCAGGTACATTGTTCGATACGGTGGCAGGAACCATAACCATGGGGATACAGAATGCTTCGTATTTCTCCCGGGCTGTAGACAGCTCCAATAGTCCCAGGTATGCCTGATGGGTACAATGCAGCAATTGTGTAAAATTAAAGGGAAAGGAAAACAAAACAAAAGTTGAATTGAAGCAGTATAGGATACAATGCAGGAGGGGATTCACAACCGGTCAGGTTCTCTATTGACATGCAAAGATGCTGGTGACAGATGGTGTGTTCTTTCAGCGAATCAGAGGTGATTTGAAAGAGGGATCAAAGCTCATGAGTATACGTTATCCTGCCTTTTATCTCCAGTAATCAGTTTTTTTTGGCACTTTTTCAAAATTTGGTTTCACTTCAGGCAAGAGTTCCTTGTAAAAGGAAAACAGTGCTGTTCCCTGTGATAAGGGTTGCCCGTTTCAATCTTTTTCCCATCTCTTAATATTTACCATCCATCTACAGTAGAATCACCATGAAGACCTCAGCAATATATAGTGTGCTACAGGTTATGATATAAAAAGAAAGAAAGCAAAAAGCAAACAACTTAAAAAAACTTTTTAGGGTAAATTCTGAACAGTTCTCCAAGTTCAGTTGCAGAATATACTGTTTCTATTATTGCAGTAGTAGAGAATAGTAAATCTTATTCTCTCTTATTAGCTTCATTTATATATTATACATCAGTTACTCGCACAGTATACTAGTTACATTTTTCTATTTGGCTAACCACCCAAAAGAGCATTTAAAAAACTGGGCTCCCAGAGTTTGTATTAATTTTCAAACACAAAGTGTGTACTCCTGAGCAAACATAAAGTTTAATCAGTGGCTTAATGCTGTGAGATCAAATAGAAAAAAAATAGTTAATGTAATGAAAATTATTTTTTAAACTGATGCTACCGTAGTATGAGGCTGCCAATGAAATTCAAGGCCATTTCCCCACTTCTAGATCAGTGCTTTTACATCATGCCACAATGTGTAACACAATATATACAATGCAATCTACTGGGTTTTTTTCCCCAAATCCCGTTCAACAGCTGGATTCAGACTACTTGAAACCATGGTTTCTTTAATATAATGCAAAATTACCAGCAAGAATTTAGAAAAGGGGAGGAAAGCAAAATTATATACCTCAAAGCCACCAATGATGAGGAGAGCGTTGATGCAATGGGCACGCATATGTTCTGCAATCTTCTCCAGATACTTTCCAGGGAGTGTACTAGAATATATTTTTTTTAAAAAAATAAGACAATCAGGAATATATGTAGGGTAAAATTAAATATACATTTAATTTATCATCTCACTTAATTGAGGCACAATTATACATTGCAAAGGATATAAATAGTTTTAAAATTATCTTAAAATGTTTTTATAGTTTTAACTGTTGTAATTTTTTTAAATTTAAGTCACCCAGTCATTGATTGAAATCAGCATACAGGAAGGAAGGAAGGAAGGTAAAACAAAAAGAACGAAAGAAAGAGAGAAGGAAGGAAAGAAAAGAAAGAAGGCAAAAGAAAGAAAAAAAGAAAGAAGATGAGTGAAGGAAAGAAGGAAGGAAGGAAGGAAGGAAGGAAGGAAGGAAGGAAGGAAGGAAGGAAGAAACCAGGCTTACACTTCCATTTCTCTTTGATCAGCAAGTGATTAAATCTGTTCTGTGCAACAGTATGGTAATTTGGGGGGTATGTCTACTATTGCCTCTTTGATTTCTACCAGTAGATGGATAATATATAATACTGTTGAATTACCGTTTGGTGCCAAGAATTGACCCTCCTTGGCCAGTCCAACCTCCAACATCTCCCCACTTGATTTCTTTAATCTATGAGTCAGAACCACAAAAAAGATCTGTTAATTAAATTATGTTTATATTGCTGACATAACTTAAAATATATGTGGTTCAGCAATCGATGACAAAAAGTCAAATTTAAGCACTTGAACCAAATATATCATAAAGTGCAATGTAAATACACCATGATGCATTTACCATAATTTGTCTCAAATACAATTCTTATCTGTTGATGGTACAACTACATATGCAATTTCCAGTATATACTAAACTCCTCTGTCCAACTATCAAATCTAAAAAAAAAAAAATCATTAACTCGGTGACAGCTTAAGCAAAGCATGAGGGGAGGTTGTAAAGCCGGCTTAGTTTATGGGATTCTAAACCAAACAGTAGCATTTAATTAAATGGGAGCAAGTGGAAAAGCTAAGAAGTCCAGATCAATGGCACAAAAGCTTATATGTCTTTACTCTGAAAAGCAGAGCAAAATGGAGATAAATCAAGACAATCTTGTAATAGACTCTGCCACTTCCTTGGATGATTTTAAGTAGTTTGGTTAAGAACAAATCATACCAACAGGTTAGATTAGCTGGAAGGAAATAACTAGAATCTTTTAGGTTTCCTGATCATCACTTGTGCCCCCAAAAGAAGCCAGGCCAGACATCTCAAGGACTTTGGAATTAAATCCTGCAATTTCTAGCCATTATCACAATGCGATAAAGGTATGGAGAAATGTTGCAATGAAACAACTAAACAATTATAATAGTTAACTGACTGAGTTGGCAATCGGCTTTCTTTTGAACTGAAGCTATTTTAAGGCTTTGCAAATCTGCTGGATTGGAAGTCTTAGGACTGAATCCTCCCTATGCATTTCATGCCATAAACACCTTCTGAGTGGAAAATATTCAAACCCAATGTGACAACGGATCCTGTGATACTATTGGCTTTTGTCTGTAGCTACTCATCTGGGGTTCTTATCTCCACGTAATGCAATCACCCTTCACTGTTCTTGTAAAATCAAGATCACGTGGCAGCTGAACAATATACACAATCTGATACCAAGGATTTATTACCAAGCATTCAATAAGCAAATGCTTTTTCAGAAGTAAGGAAAACCATAATATTAGGATAGAGTTATATGAAAGCTAAATGAAAATGGGATACATCCCTTTACAGAATCTTCCAACCTTGTTGTTCTTATGTTGCAGCCTTTCCCAATTTGAGGTATTCCCAGATATTGGACTGAAACTCCCAAAATGACAGCAGCTATTATCATAGGTGTTGAGGTAATTCCCCATTAGGAGAATGAGCGCATACAGGGAGACGTATTTGAGAGTAGTGTTTGAATAATACACATACAGAACACAGATACACGGTACAGTAAATGTAGGTTTTTACTTCCAGAAAGGTTTAAGCAAAGTTCAAAATAAGCAGTCCAAAGTCATTCACAAGTAAATCAGTCAGTTTTCAACCGAGGGATAATCCAAATATCAAATTCCAGTATCTAAACAGTTCAGTATCAGACTTACATCAAATCCAGTAATATCAGTCAATTAGAAAAAATGGAGGAACGGCAATACTTTCCAACAGAAGGAAACAGAGATACACTCTCTTCTGAGACTCAGACTAAACAACCCAGGTTTCTGGCTCCATCTTATGGCCGTTTGAAAAACCACACCCAATTGCAGGTTTTGCAATCTCTTAAAGACATACTACCAAAATGTCTATCCTGGCTTATATATTTCTAACCCAAATACCTGTTAGGTGACTTATATTCCTAACAATAGGCATTCAGGAGAAGCTATGATAATACATGCCATTGTGCATTGGACCTCAGTTTCCCAACCTATGCATATTAATATCCTGAACATCTGGAGTGGAAAGGGTGATAAAGGCCATCTCCAAAAGGTGTCATTACATTCTCTTAATATATGTTATGTCCAATGAGGAATACTGCTACCTCCCACTCTTCTGCAAAGACTATTACAGTTATGAGGAGTTCAATCCTAAGTGCCTGAAGGTTGACTCAGCCCTCCATCCTTCCGACATCAGTACAATGAGGACCTGGATTGTTGGAGGCAATAGGCTGACTCTGTAAACCGCTTAGAAAGGGCTTTAAAGCATTGTGAAACGGTACAGGTCTATTGCTATAATAGGGACTCTTATGATTTCTACCTAAAAGTTAAGATGAAGGTTCCGTGACTCCTCCTTATGACTATGTAGATACAGACATCCAGTTTTCTTGGCAACAATATGGAAATGCTATTGCCACCTTCCCCAAAACATTGGGTAGACCAATTCATGGAGATCAATGGCTATTGGCTTGATGGCAGTGTGACTGTCCCTAGAGATCTTTTGCTGGGAGACTAGTAGGCTTCCTTGAACAACTTGTTGGTCATTGCCAGAAGAGACTGATCGACTAGATGTACCAGAATATCCAAACCAGCAAGATGTTGCTTATATTCCTATGAGTTTTCATCTACCTTTCAACCCTGGAATAGCATGAGGAAGTGTTCTAACGTAGCATCTGAGCCTAGACAAGACTGCCCTGATGTATCTTCCAGTTGAGATTATTTCCCATAAAATGGTGACAACAGACAAATTTAGGAAATACCAACCTGCCCTCTAGAAAAGCCTTCAAAGCCATCAGTGACAGCTAACATTTTGTGACCTTCAGTGATCCCAAGTCTCACTGCCGAACGGACAGCAGCATTCATCCCAGCTGCTGGAGCACCCACATTCAACACAGCAACAGTGAAATTGCTCTGCAGAAGAAGTGAATAAGGTTTTTGAAACAAAGTAGAAGTCACAAGGCATAGCAGGATAACTTTGAAATTTTTTAAAAAATGAAGTTTTTTTATGTTTGAATTCAGACATTTGAAAGCAATGAAAAACAGTCTCCCAATTTTAGAAACCATTTTTTTAAAAAAAAAAATCAGAGTTGTTTTAATAATCCTGTTACCCCTACATTCATTTCTGCTCCTGGAAAGCTCTAACTGCCTAAACTTTATTTTAGAAAACCAGAAAAGCAAGTAATGTAACACAACTGATTTGAATGCCAGTGATTATTTTAATCTAGCTAATACACACATAAAGGAAGAAATATGTTTTCTTAAAATGAAATAAATAAATATCAAAAAGCAAGTACCACACCTATCCTCCTAAAAGTGTCTGCATCCTTTCATATGTAATCACTACACTGTGCTGAAAAACAGCTGATAACTAAACATTATAAAACAGCAAATCATTAAACTCTGTCTACAAACCTGTCAATTAGTCCACATCCATAAAGCTTTTTTGCCCGCAGTAAACCATCTTTTACTACAATATATCCAAAATCCCACACTGTGCTCTGGAGACTTTTTATACAGTGTAAAAAGTCAACCTCCCAACTTCAGCTGTAGTGTATTTATTCAGAGATATTGCTGTATATGCACTTCAATTCTTATTTCCACTGGAAATTCTTGCAGGGTTGTGTCCTAAGTGTTAGCAACCAAATCTATAAAGATCTAAAAAACTAACATGATCTTTAAATATATGATTTAAAACAGGGCTGGCAAACTCTCAGCCCAAGGGCCAGATGCATCACACACTAGCCATGACCACACTCGGTTTAGCGAAGGGAGAAAAAGTCCCAATATGTTATGTGATGCTGCCATGACGATGTGAGTTTGACTCCCCTGGTTTAAAAGCCTCCAGAAACAAGAAGATTAAATGCTTGTAAAAATACTTGATTTTTTTTAAAATGACAAATTAAACCAACTTATTAAAGAGAACAGAACAATTTTTACAGCAAGCTCTACCTACTAGTACTTCCTACTTACCTAGACAGTAGTATACTGCAGCCAGATGTACTATGAACTGACTAGTATTTGGTTTTAAGGTACTATTTAACAACACAACTAATGAAATTAATGGATTAATCAGGATACTGCTTTTAAGGCATATAATTATTTTACTACAGTCCACCATGGAATAATTTTATATAAAGCTTCAACATTTACCTTATTTAAAAGGTTACAGGTCCACAGATGTACACATTTATTTACCCTAAGGTAAAATTCATACCGCTTAAATACAATTAGCTACAACTTTTCAATTAGTACCTAAAAACCTTCAAAAAGAATTCCATGATATTTTTTTAGATTCAGTCTCTTTAATTTATTTTGAAAATTGATAGCTCGTCTACATTTTAAATTAAATTATACAGTAATTTATAAATCTATAAAATTCAACAGTATTTATTTTACTCATTTACCTAATATCCAATATTTAAATACTATCTCTGTCAAAGTCTAGGTGGTACATAATAATAAGAACAGAAAATATTTCTGTCAGCCCTACAAGGTAGACCAGACAACAAGCCTGTAAGTCTTGACTATTTTTGTTCTAACTGAATCTTGCAAATCTAAATCCGCTTCCCCCATCCTATCTTCTCCTTTATGGGAAACAGAGAAAAGCTTTTCTGGAGCTCAGACTCTTATCTTACCACCGAGGCTCCATAGGAACTCTTTCTTCTGTCTCCCAAAGCCTTTCCCTCTATCCTCTACCATTACAAGAACTCCTGAAATCTCATTTTACCAGATTTTAGTACAATGAAGTAGAAAACCAAATTCCATTGTAATCAATGGCATTTGTATTATGGTATTATGCATATTATTGCATTTATATGATACCTACGAAATTAAGTCAATTTCAGCAATATCCTAACTTTGATTCAGTGGACTTTCTTAAGTATGGGAAGGTACCCTGCAATTAGTTTGTCAAAACAATGTTTCACTGATTGATTGTTTTTTGCTAAACTCTTGTTTCCTTTTCTAATATAATTGCAATTAGAAAGCAAACCAAAATGAGAAATGACACAATGAAGGCAAGGACTTTATGAAGCGTACCTTAGGCAGTTCGTCTTCTGGTTTTTTGTTAGACAAGAGTTTGTAGGTATTCAAGTTGTTGGTAAAACTCCTATAAAAAACAAATATCATTTTGTTATTCTTTTCATAACATTACTGGAAACCATAGTGGCAGTATATTTTTATAACAACATAAAATAATTGTTTAAGTTGATATAGATCTGCTAAGTAATTAAATAGATAGATAAATAAACAATGACCAAATACAATGATTAGCCGGGCCATTTTGATTTTGTTCTGGAATTATTCCTTTTAGGAATAATAAAAAAAAAACTATAACAGAGATAAAATATCTTATATTACATGTATTAAGAGCAGTAAGAATTTCCTATGGCTAGTACTGGAAGAAAAACTCCACACCACCTAAAGGCTTAATAATAAAAAAAAATTAGAGTGCGTGGAAATGGACAAATTAACTATGGAACTAAACGGGAAAGCAGACACGGAATACAATGCAATATTGGAAACATGGTATATTTGGATTGACAATAGATATAAGAATAGAAAATGTAAATAATGTATATAATTGATAGGAGGGTATGAAAGTATTGTGTATTGTAAGTTTAGATAGGATATATAAATGTATATATAATGTCACAGCACTGTTTAATAAGTATTGGTATTATGTATAAATGGAAAAAACTCAATAATTTTTTTTTTAAAGGTCATGCTGGCTCTATTATCTCCTAATTTTGGCACAATTCAAGACCTAAGATTTTATCTCATTTGGATAGAACTGAAAAATTATTGGGACGAGAAACCATTTTTCCCACAGTTACCTACAAAACAGAGGCCTTTGATATAACTGGCCATCACCATACACTGGAAAGCAACCTAACAGTTTCTGCTAGAAGATTAAATAATAATAATAATAATGTCGCACCTTCCACGGAGTTCTACTGCATCTTTGAATCTTCTTTCATCCATAGCTTTCTGTACATCTTGAGTCTTGGGAATTGGGGAAAATAAAAACAAATAATATGCAATCCCTCAAAACAAGGTCCAAGAATAGAAAGTGAGTGGGCTGTCGCTACTATTCCATAAATGGAATTAAATAATTGACTTTTAAATGATTTTGATGGGATTACAATGCAATTTCATGTACATTTATCCCAACATGTAAGACTCTTATAATAATCTAGACTTTAGGTTAGGTTAGGCTCTACCTAACATTATAGATAATTCTCGATTTATGACCACAGTTGAGGCCAATATTTCTGTTGCTAAGTGAGAGATTTATTAAGTGAATTTTGCCCCATTTTATGACCTTTCTGGCTGTTGAGTGAATCACTGAAGTTGTTAAGTTAGTAAAACGGTTGTTAAGTGAATCTGGCTTCCCCACTGACTTTGCTTGTCAGAAGGTTGCATATTTATGACAGTTGCAGTGTGTCTTGTGACCCTGGCACACTGCAACTGTTATAAAGATGAACCAGTTGCTAAGTATCCGGATTTTGATCATATGACCTTGGAGTGATGCAACCGTTGTAATTGTTATAAGTTATAAGCAGAGGTGGGCTGCACTTTCATTGACAAGGGGTTTGCTGGTCGTGAGCATTTTGGGGCTGCAACGCAGCTTCAAACAGGCAGCTAATTGACTCAGGTAGCTCTGGTGGGTACAACAGGGCGGCACAGAGCTCACCTGGGCAGCCGAAAAGTTAGTTATTTAGGGAAAGCATAGCACAAGGCAAATGGGCAGGCCCAGCTAGAGATCACAGCAAGCAGTTCGCTCAAACCTTGCCGACCACCCAGCAGCCCACCACTGGTTATAGGTCAGTTTATCAATGTTAATGTACCTTTGAATGGTCACTAAATAAACGATTATAAGTTGAGGATAACCTGTAGTATATCAGAGCTCCAACAAATCCACCCCCATAGAAATCATAAGTCTCTAGACGCATCTCGCAGGGTAAAAAAAATGATCTATTAGAAGTGGCCATGTTGGTGTTAGCAGGATGCAGCCGACATTAAAATACATCATTCATTTCTCCCTTGACCCTGGTTTTCCCCCCCACCCCCTGGATGTATATTCTCCAATGGGACACATCCATAGCCAAGAGTCATCAATCATGTTCTCCAGTAATTTTCTTGCATGCCAACAACTTTGGGCTGCCAAGACGATTATCTGAGGCATTTGAGGAATGCACTGTTTTCCCCCACTCCCTTTCTGCTGGCAGCTAAAAAGACCAAAGGAGTATCTTTTTAGATGACATAGTACAAGTGTTGTCTTATTAGCAACCTATATGGTCTTACACATGTAGCTGTTTATTTGACTCATTCTTCTGTGGACAAACTAGCCTTGGTTCAATAGTTGTGTAAATTAGGGCTGATATTTAAAATACAAAAACAAGGAGAGGTAGATTCTCCGAAATCATTTATTAATATATTGCATCCTAAGGAATGCTCCTGCTACATTTTACTGTAAGTACTGGAAGTTTGGAGCACCAAGAATGATTTTAGCCACTCTGTATGACCATGATGACATGCTCACGAGAGTGTACACATGCTCTGGTATGCCAAAACAAACAGGAAGAACAACACCTAAGATAAACAGACTCCTACTTTATCAAAGGCCTCTGGGTTATCACAATCCAACACCCCAGTTTGCTCTCAAAGTCCCATCAGCAATTTGACCCAATTACTCCTATTGTAAGACTGATTGGAGTTGATTGTCCCCCGTGCTGATAAGCATTTCTCTTATGTCATTGCTAGTGCTTCAGCTGACAACAGGCCACTGTTTGCTAGATCATACTAACAAGCAGCGGAAACTTACCATCTGAACACACTCCATTAAGGGCAGGCGGACAGCCAGGTTCCCAGAGAGGGTCACCACACATCCCGGTGTTTCAGGCGTGGCTTCCAGAAGAGCAAGGACAGCCTCCACACCCATACGGCTGGCCTGTAAAAATCCAAAATCAAGTTGGTTCTTTTATGGGTATTGCAACATCTGATGGTGGATAGTTTTGAAATGTGCCAACAGTCCCCTGTGAAACCAATCTTAAAAAAGATCAGTTCTATAAAATTAAGAAGGGAGGGAGATCAATTATTATTAGCACAGAATCCAGTGGCTTTTTTAAAGGCTGGGAAACCTTCAAGAGAACAAAGTATTATACTAGAGTTGACTAAGGTTTTTTATTTATTTATGTGGGTCTCCGTCGACATTAAATATGTCTTTTAAAGAACCTAGATTTGATCATGGATCATATCTAGCATGGAGATAACCCCAAATCTTTTATGTATTCTAAGTATTGCCCTATTTTGTAACTCATCAGCCTTGAACCTCTCAGCCTTGCTCAACTCTGGGGACTCACTCTGATTTCCTATGTCATTGTATGGCCCTCTATGTACCCATATTAGAGTCAAGTAAAGATGGAAGGCGACGGCTCAGTGGCTAAGACGCTGAGCTTGTCGATCGGAAAAGTCAGCAGTTCAGCAGTTTGAATCCCTAGCACCGCATAATGGAGTGAGCTCCTGTTACTTGTCCCAGCTTCTGCCAATCTAGCAGTTCGAAAGCATGTAAAAATGCAAGTAGAAAAATAGGGACCACTTTGGTGGGAAGGTAATAGCGTTTTGTGTGCCTTTAGCATTTAGTCATGCTGGCCACATGACCACGGAGACGTCTTCAGATAACTCTAGTTCTTCAGCTTTGTAATGGAGATGAGCACCGCCCCCTAGAGCCAGAAACAACTAGCATCTATGTGCAAGCGGAACCTTTACCTTTACTTTTACAGATGGAAGAGAGAAACAACCACAAATTGCAACCTACTTTGGGCTCTGTTTCTACCTCTCTTCCCTTGTGATTCCAAGCAGACTTTTTTCATGAATGAACCATTTCTTGACTACTTTAGACTAACCATTCTCATGTAATGACTAAAAAATATGAATAGGCTTGAAACTATAATTTGTCTAAGAGAGTTTTTAATATTTCCATTTCCTTTACTTCAGTTTAAATTGAGCACACCTAACTTTTGTAGGATAATTTTCTAACTATAGAACTTGGAAAGACTTTCCATAGTTTCATTTCTCTAAAGGACAATCCTCCCAGTTTCATATATCAAAATAAGTAGAAATTAAATATTTCTTTATACTGTTTTTAGGGGTCAGTTTTTCCTCTCCGTTTTTCATTATTTTTTTTAATAATTATAAATAATAATGGAGATTTTGCTATTATGTTTAGAGAGGGAGTGGGGGAAAGAAGGAAGGATGAATTTTTCTAACTTTGTCTAGTAACTTTATGGCTGAATAGAAATTTAACCACAGCCCTTAGGTTATAACCTAAGTTCAAATATTTCACAATTAATTCTTACTATGGCTCAAAGAATAGAACAAGGAAGAAAAATCAAATGATTCCACCTAAAACTTGGTTGTGCTGGATAGGCTATTCTTCTTCAATACTCAGAAACAAATTGGTTATATTCACTCACCAAAATCCGATCAAAAGCAGAGGGTGTACCTCCTCGTTGCACATGGCCAAGAATGGTCACTCGTGTGTCAAACCCTAACCGACTCACCACAAGCTGCAAAAGAAGACCAAGGTGAACCCAAAGAAGAAGTATTAGGAGCTGTGGCAACTATGCAGAGATTTTCCTTACATGAGCACTGAGAAGATCTAATGTAAGCCTCTAAAATTGCCTCTCGCAAATTCAGTTCTAGTTCTAATTCTTCCACCAACAAATTGAAATCTTTGATACTCTTCTCAGTCTATTAGGGAATGCGCTCTGATAGAATCTTAGAAGTGGACCTTTTTGGTTGCAGCAATCTGAAACCCCAAACCACTCCCTTCCAAAGTTCCAGCTACGGCAACTCTAATAACATTCTGAAAACATATGGCTGTTGACCCATGTGTGGGGATCAGGGAAATAAGGAGGACCCATGGGATGGTTGATAGGATTGTAACTGTTGTTCTTATAAGCTACCTCCAGATCACAGTTCTCAAAAATGATCAGTGTTGATACCGAAGGTTTGAAGGGACCATCCAAGGGGTCATTGTTTTATTCATATTCTATTGTTATTCATATTCTAGTTAGAATAAAAATCAAATTATTTGTATATAATAAATACTTAGGAGTCAAACAATCTGAAACTTTGTCAAGGGGTCAATGAGCTGAAAAATTTGGACGGGTCTCTGTTCTGATTTGTTGCTTTTTTACTGATTTATTTGTTGCTTTTTTATTGATTTTTAAATTTTTGTTATTACTCAACAGTTGCTGCTTGAGAGATAAGTGGTAACATAAATAACGACATATGAACTAAGTGATGGTGACAGAAATAATGATAAATAAATAAATAAAATAAGCTATCTAAACTAGTTTATATCTTTTTATAGAAAGTTCTGATTTGCTGTATGGCTGTAATCCACAAGTTGAGTATAAAAGTTTGCTTTGACAAGAGTTGCTTATAGCTTTCAAGTTTGTAAAACACCAGATAATTTGGTGTAATGAGCTTTTAATCAGATGTTCATTAACAAAACACGAAAAGGAAACAAATTGAGAATGATATTTTTAAAGCAGCAAAAAGATTCAAATACTTTCCAGGCAGATTTTAATGTCACTGACAAAAAAGCAAAAACAGAACGAGTCAGCATGAAACAGCTGAAAATGAACCAACCATGCTGGCTTAAAAATAAAATAAGGACAAATTACACAATATTTTAATAATAAGAATTAATAAAAAGAATGTGTGCATAACTAGTAGGTAAAATAAATTTCCATGAATGTCTAGTTAAGAAAGGAGAGAAAAGGCTCCTATATCAATACCTCTTAAATATCTTTTGAACCAAATGTAGCCTTGCATTTTAAAATGTTTAAAGAATTTTAAGTAAGGCATAGTGACTTACTTAAGCCAAAGAAAAGAGGAAGGTTATAGAACTGATTATTTAATCTGTGTAGATGACTATCAAAGGCAGCATTTTCTAAGAGTTGGTAACTTCACTATCTAAATAAATACATATGACCATGAATCAAGAAGCAACTTGCTACTGTAAAAACTGAGGCATTATCTGCCTTAATCTGTATTTTTTTTTTATCAACACCGCAGTAAAACCAATGTTTATTTATTCATTATTCATTATCTTTATATAATAAATTTAGAAATCTCATTCAGAGTGACTCATTCCACATCTTATATCACAATCCCATAGAGTCCCCAGGACCAAACATCTATGGAGATTCTCAGTAATCCAGGTCATGGATGTCTCAAAGGGGCTTTTTCAAGAGGCAAATGGACTTTCTTGTCTTTCTTTTGAAGACATTTCGCTTCTCATCCAAGAAGCTTCTTCAGCTCTGACTGGATGGTGGCGAATGGAAGGATTTATATTCCTTGCACACAGCTGGCCATTTGCGTTCTTTTAGTGAGTCATTGAGGCCACCTGGAGATTTATCTATGTCACCAGGATAACCTGAGTGGTGCAAATGGGTGTGGAGTCTTCTTGGAACTGTTGAAAGGACTGTGTTGGAGAAAGGTGATGTCTTTAAAGAAATGTCTTCAAGGAAAAACCAGAAAGTTCAGGTGCCTCTTGAAAAAGTACCTTTGGGACAAGAACCTAGGCTTCCAACAAAAACAGTCAAAACGGGGGCAGTTTTTAGAAAGCTGGAAATTTTTTCAACTGACTATCTCATTTGGACCATGCCTGAAACTGAAATGGGATTAAGATCTCTGAGTTAAACCCTGAACTTCAAATATTATTTTTTATCGATAAAACCTCTACCAAGTACTGCTTTGACCAGAACTAGAACTCAAACTAAAGCATCTGCAGAATCAAGCTTTATCAATATTGCTTGAAGATTCTGCACAGCATATATTTGTTCAATATGCATTATTTAATGTATTACAGAAGCTAATAACATGAAAATGAACTTTCTACAGTTAAGGTTATTTTTTTCCATGTGTGAATTTCAAAGGCAATTTTGAATGTAACCATACTTAACTAAGACTGCATTTCAATTACAGGACACAATATATTTAAAAAATTCCAACATTTATAAATAAGTTACATGAGGATTCACATATATATTCAGCAAGTCATGATGGACATCATGTACTTACATCCTTAACTTGTTCAGAAGTGATAGGCTTGTTGAATGAATCAATTGCTCCTTCGGACACAATTATTATATTCAACCTTTTCTTTCGGGCACGGTTCTGGGATGAAAGAAATTTAAGACAGATCAGTAAAACTACCAAAACTAGAATAAACAGTGGAAAGCTGAATTCTAAACATAGCTAGGAAACATTTCGTCTGCTATAGGGGTGGCAAACCCAATCGCATTGCAGGCCACATTGTGATGTATTAGGATATTTTTTGCCTTTGTGGAGCCTGAATAGGTATGGGGCCAGTTTGGGGGGCCCATACCTATTGGGGGCAGTTTGACAAGCCTGGACCACTACACAAGATACATTCACAAAATTCATCTAATGAAACTCTATCCTATTGTTATTCTTTTCTTCCTAATGTTATTGAGCATATCTACTTCAACTTGATACATTGTACACGTACTAGGTCTTTCAGTTCCAGAATTTTTAGCCAGGATGACTAGAAATAGGAACTACAGTTGTTATCAATCAGGAAGAGTAATGGATGGTGGAAAACGTATATATACATTTGATCATAACCATTTCTACCCTGGACAAGTATGGCTCCATGCTCAGGAGTATGAAAATTCAGTAAGATAAAGTGAACCAAAAGTCTTCAGGCTTTTTGATTTCAGAAACCTTTTCAAATCAAGCTGACAAACATATGAATTCTGCAGAGTATCCTGGAATGTGCTATAAGGTAGGGATAAGGAACCACTGTCTTTTTAAACCAGGGTAAGAGAATGATGGCCTTTTTATGACTTGTGGACTTCAACTCCCAGAATTCCTAAGTCATGCAATTCTGGGAGTTGAAGTTCACAAGTCATAAAAGGGCCATCGTTCCTCACCTTTGCTCTAGACATGGTTGGAATTCAAGGCCCATACAGACCAAAGCTGGACATTCTAGGATCTGTAGTGATGCTTCTCCAAAACCATTCATAGTCACAATTCCTGAAGTTTGTTGAGAGTTCTTGTTCACTCGTGTTGAAGCTGAGCATGAGAACTAAGGCAGACAAGTCTCCAGAATTGATAAGTTGAAACAGAACAGCCAATGTCTTCAAGAAATAAATTCTTGCATTAACATGAACTTTTAACTTCTTATTTTGGGGGGAAAGATGTCAACAAGCCCAATAAGCTATAAGTTTAGTGATATTTTTGTACATCTGTGCCATTTGAGCAAACCGATTCCTGCTTTCCACCATAATTTAACCATGCTGTTTTGCAAGCTGCTAAGAACCATTAAGGGAATGGCCACATGGATATTTTCCAAGTTAAAAATAAATGGATTGCACCATGGGGCTACCCTCACTACAGCACTCCATTTTTAGAAGAAGAAGAAAAAGACCAGAAAAATAATCCAAAAATGCCAAAAGAGAGAGTCTTCACAAGCCATCTTTACCATTTTGGCACAGTTGCCTTTTAGAGAGTGGAAATTTGGGTTGTTCTTGCTCAATTTTCATCAGGGAGCTGATAATTTCCCCAAGGAAGCCCAATGTATTATTATACCAAAGTTGAAAAGGATTACCTCAGAAAGCCTAGCACACATGTGATCTTCCCACCCTTCCTCAGGTGGGTATTCAGGGATAAATACATAGTCTGCACCACAGGCTAAAGCACTAACAAGTGCCAGATACCTAGGGCAAAAAAGCAAATTCCCAATCAGTATCTGAAGAGTACACCACAACTTTTTTTTTCTTTTACTAAAAGTGATTTATCTTGGAGATACGTACCCACAGTGTCTTCCCATCACTTCTAGGACGAAGGTCCTCTGATGGCTAGAAAAAACACAAGACCAACAGATCAACAACCAAAACAAATAGTAAAATACTATTCAAATGTACAGATCTTGAGTTTGGCATTAAGTGGATGACCCCTATGCTTATTTTTCTTTGTGTATTTTTTGATTCTTTTCTCATCCTCATTCAGATGGACTTTGCTTAATTGATCTAGCTGCCAGAAAAGTATAAGGTCGATTTAGGACCACAATTGAGCGCAAAACTTATGTTGTTAAATGAGACATTGGTTAAGTGAGTTTTGCACCATTTTACTATCTTTTTTGCCACAGTTGTTAAGTAACTCTTTATAGTTGTTAAATTAGGAATGTGCTTGTTAAGTGAACCTGGTTTCCCCATTGATTTTGCTTGTCAGGAGGCAGCAAAAGTTGTTCATGTGAGCCCAGGACATTGCAAACATCATATTAAACAGTTGTCAAGCTATTTTGATTACATGACATAGGGATGCTGCAATGGTCATAAGTGTGAAAAGTGGTCATAAGTCACATTTTTCAATGCCAACATAACGTTGAACAGTCACTGAATGAATTGCTGTAAGCCAAGAATTACTTTATAGTAAGATTTTATTGAAAAAAATACCCAAGTTTTTTTCTCATTTCTCCATAAATATGGAGTTTAAGGAAAATATATTATTTACATATTACCATTTACATTTGCTACTGACCATGTTTCCCAGAAAATAATACCGGGTCTTATATTAATTTTTGCTCCAAAAGATACATTAGGACTTATTTTCCACTTAGGTCTTATTTTGGGGAAATTATAGCACTAAAATGCTTCAAGTCTAGATAATGATCTGAACTGGGACATCTTGGGGGTAGGGCTTGTAATAAGCCTCCTGAAAAATCATGTTGGGGCTTATTTTCAGGGAAACAGGGTACCTTTCAATTATAGATACTATTGGAAATCAAAGATTTACACAAATTTTCTCAAACATGTTTCTTCTTATTGGCTTACAGAACTATGCAACAGACGGTAAAAGCACTAGAAAAAGAGAATCCTCGTTCTTCCTCCCCCGCCATATATTTGCATGCCTCGTTCCTGTCAAAGCACCTAACGATGTGACAAATGCCAGTGGAAGTGTTGAAAGGGCTCAGCTGCTGTTTCTAGGAATTCATGCATGCCTCCCAAGGCTCAATTTCTATTCCTCCATAGCCAGCCAAAGGTTACAAACTTCCAAACAACTGCTTCCAGCTTTTTGATGGCAACAGAATTCATACAAAAGTTCAGGTTGAATGATATGCTAAGCCATGGTGTAACATCATGAAGATTAGATAATAAAACTACAGTGTGATCCTGGCATGTTCAACAAAGTATTTTGGGGGGCTGGGAACAGGGTGAACTGCAAGCAAACAAGCCCCAATTTGCACTGTGTAGGAAAACTGTCCTGCATTTTTCTTTCTTTACTAATTTTCATTCAGTTAGATGAAAAGGGGTATTTGTCTTTAAAATTCCTTTCAAAGAAGACAACATGGAATGTCTTTATATTAAATTCATGATAAAATTATCTGGGGATTATGACTAATTAAATAATATCTGTATGGAGGACCTGCACTCTTCTTCAATGCCAAGAGAAGACACCATGGTGAAAAAATCCTACCACTAAGCTTTTTAAGATTTCAAGGTATAAAAAAGTTTTGAAGGGCATCTGCTTGATTGCTAAACATTTAATTTAAAAAAGTATACCAGCTGTAGCACCTGTCATTATATCAAGCATGGAATAAATTCCTAAATGCCATCAAGAGACATTTCTGGGAGAAAAAAAATCAACTATCTTAACAATAAGGCTAAAAAACAGTGTTTTTCTCAAGAACAAATTTCTATATTGGTAGTCTTCGACATGATCACAATTAAGCCTAATTTTTGTTACTAAGTGAGACATTTGTTAAGTGAATTTTGCCCCCATTTTATGACTTTTCTTGCCACAGTCGTTAAGTGATTCACTGCAGTTGTTGAGTTATGAAGTGAATCTGGTTTTTCATTGACTTTGTTGGTTAGAAGGTGATCACATGATCCCAGGACACAACAACTGTCATAAATATGAGTCAGTTCCCAAGTGTCTGAATTTTGATCATGTGACTTATGGGGATGCAATGGTCATAAGTGTGAAAAACTGTCATAAGTCACTTTTGCCAGTGCTGTTGTAAATTTGAATAGCCAGTCACTAAATAAACTGTTGTAAATCAAGGACTACCTATAGAGCATTTCCATGCAGTTGTTTATGAAGTACCTGAAACAAAGGAAGAATTTTCCTATGTCAGGGAAACATATGTTTAAATGTACTGGAAATAAATTATCGTTTTTTCACTCATTTTGCCTTTCGGCAGCTTTTTAAAACTTAGTTGTGTTGTTGTTGCAAAAAATTCCAGATTAGACTAACCACACTTCAGTCTTTTGAGGTACAATAAGCCATTGTTAGCTTTAAAAAGGAAATAAATGCTTCCAAAAGCATGATGGGGCAGGAGTGGGCAAAAGAGAATTTTTTTGCTGTCCATATGAAGGACCTGAAATGGATTTCAGAGCTGCTCAGAAGCTGAATAAAAAAGTATGCCGTACAAATTATTATTACAGTATGAAATATCCTATCCCCAAAATGTTAATGTGCATTATATCTTCCAGAAAAGACTGAGAACTGTAGAAGTTCTTCAGCTATGGCAAATCTTCCTGAAGGGATTCATAATAATTGGTTGTCTAAAAAGTGAAAGAAAACAGGGATTTTCTAGTCAATGCGAATACCTTCATTGTCCTCTCTCTACAATAAATGTGTCGGGAAAGGCCATCAGAATCTGGATTCATATATGAAGGTAGGCCAAAATTTGCTTAACCCTGAAGAACAGACTTGCGGAAGTCTGTTCACACCTAACCACTTACCATGGTTTATAAATCAAAATGAATACATTCCTACAAATTGTTATACTAAATCAGCAAATTATCTTTTGGCTTAGTGCAATCTACAAATACAACTTTTATGTATTGTCTGCAGTAAAATAAGTTTTGACGGCCACTGAAGGCAGGATAAAACACAAAGCCATGGTTTTACAGTTTTCTAAAGTATGAAGCAGGAATATTATTTACAATGTCCATCTTGACATGGTAATTAGTTCCCCTCTTGGCCATAAAATATAATACAGACAATGTGATATATGATTAATATCTCCCTACCTATAATAATCATATACCACATTGTATATACCACATACTCACACGCCGGAGCAAATGAAGTTTTCTTCAGTGCAGCAGGCAGCTGCCCTCTGCCTTGCTGCTACTCAGGCTTCTCCACACCTTCACAGATCTCTCCAACATTTGTGTGCCCCTCGAAGGGCCTCCGGACGCGCAGACTGGGGACAAGAAAACGGTGCTCATTCTTCCCTCCCCACACCACCGTGGCATTGCAACCGGAAGTCCAGGACATTTACCTTTTACTTAAATTTTCTATAGGTCATCCCAATCTTTATGACATTTTCCAGTGAATCAAATACCTTTGAGCAGTAGTCATGATGGCATCCACCACTTCAATGATTCTATGCAAGGCAGAATCTGTGCCAATAGTCATGTCTGTTCCACAGAAATCATTGTCAATGGACCCAACCATTCCCACAATGTTCAGGTAAGCATAGTTCTTTACAGCTTCTTCTTCAATCTCACCTGACCAAAAAGAAAAGAAAAGAAAAAGAAGTAATAATATATCTAGAAGTACCCAAGAAACATTCCTTCCCTTTAGAGTCTCAGAGACATTTTTAGGATGATCTTACAGTTTCAAGATATACATAAATATCACTTTAGCATTATATAATCATGTAAGGACATGATATGAAAAGAGACAAGGTAATTTAGACCTTTCCTTCAGAATGTAAACGACATGCTATGTATAGTAATTCCCTTTTGGCTGTTTTAGGAAGGATGAAAAAATAAGATTGGACACCATGAATACTAGCCTCATTGGATACTCTCTGGAATGTCTGAGAAGCTGTATTGTTTTTCCCACATGGGTAGAAAAATAGATATTCAGATAGAAGATTTGAATAAGGCCTCTCTTTGAAGTTTGAATAACCATTGCCCATTAGGAAGGAGGGGGGAGAGGAGGACGGGTGAGGGAAGAAGGAAGGACAGAGGGAGGGAGGGAGGAAGGGAAGGAAGGAAGGAAGGAAGGAGAGGAGAATTGGTATAAGTGAACCAATGGAATAACTTTATCAAAGATGCTCTCATATGGATTCACATCCATCAGTTAAGTGTTTGTGCTGTGACGGTCAGTAAAAGCCATTCTAGACTTATAAGTAGGACTCACCCTCTTATTCGTGTTTAAATGAAATCAGTTAATCTTTACCAAGAATGGCGCAGTTGGTGGATCTGAGCCACTTGTACATGTCCCCTCCCCCTCGCAACTTTAATCCAGAAATGGCAAAATCATGGAGATTTTTCACTGTTCCATTGACAAGGAAAGGCAAATATTTCCTGAAGTCTAAAGGTGATTAATAAGCTCTTTCAATTCTGAATGCCAGTTTCGACTTGGCAAAGGTTAGGCAAAAAGATCAGTTTGCAGAGAGAAAAAAAATATTTTTGTAGGCCAAAGACCTGACGGACAAGAGAGCTTGCATAAACAGTATTGTAAGGCTGGTTCAAATTCATCTTCGTTGTCATTTTTCTTACCACAAATAGAGGGTATTTTCAGAATTGCCATTATCATAACTGAGAGGCAAACAGGAAGCTTAGCAGAGAGAGGGAGGGAGGGAGGGAGAGAGACACCCTTCTGTCAACTTTGCTTTCCCTTTTCATGGGGTGAGATCTTGCACATGCCTGTTTTGGAACTCAACTACTGCAATAGCTTTTGTGTGCGGAATATCACAGCTTATAGAAATAGGAAATACAATGGGAAAAATATTAAAGTGAGAAAAGATCTCTAGCATCTGGACAATTTCATGTACCCAGAGAACAAGCTTTGAGACATTTTGTTGGCTGTGAATGTTAGATATGTTTATGATGGTTCCAGTATCAGAGCTTAGCTTCTCCATTTCTTAACATTCATCCTAAAAATAGAAGTCAGCTAAAAATAACATCAAAAGGAGCCAGTACGTGTCAAGCTCTCTCTCCATCCTTCTCCAAGAGTTCTGATACTGATGCAGCCTAGCAAAGGATAAAATTCCAGGCCCTAATTCAACCTCTTGACCTATTTATATTTTTCCTTGTTTCTCCTAGCGGATGATAATTTTCTCTCAAGAAAAAGAAATTGGTTCATAAAATATATGAAGTGAAAGAGGTCCTTTAGGCCACCCCTAGATCAGTGAAGCAATCCAAATTAATCCATCTTTGTCCAGCTTCAATTTGATTGATATAAAAGGAGGGAGCCGCAAAAGGAAACTTAATAGACCTCCTGATCTGACATGGGAAAAAAGAGCACACAAAAAGGGGAAGTGAAGGCGGCGATAAATAGAACAGGTACACTGACTTTATTTGGCTAACAAATAGAGGGTGGGAGAGATCAGTTTATCCAAGATTTCACAAATAAGATGTTGGGGATGAACTACATGAAGTAAAGAGGTTGACACAAAGGATCAGAAAGATAAGAAGAATGGAATGGAATAGAGTGGAGTGGAATTAGAAATCAATGACAACGGAAGGACAGAGAGAAGAAGACTGCAACAAATGAGTAAAGCATGGACCTGTGAAAGATAGAAGGAAAGTCTTTGTGAGTGATCAGAGTTGGCAATGGATTGAAAAATAATGAGGGGGTAAGGGAGAGTAAAAAGAGAGATCAAAGGCAAAGCTCTGTATCTATTCACTACGGTTTATCAATGGATGAAGAAAATATTGCAGGAAGATGCATGTACATAAAAGGAATTTGAAATGACTGCAAAGTACCCAAGCAGCAATCTCAGAGAAGCAAATAATAGGAGTCGAGTAAATAAAACTGACCATGTTACGAGAACTAGTACACAGTATTTTGACCACACTGTTGGCCACTCACTTTCTTGCTTCATTTGCAAGACGTGCTTCATTATCAATGAGTCTATTCATTCATCAAAGCAAACAAAAGCAAGACATTAAGACAATGCTGGCACAGTTCATTGCATATGCCTTCTGTCAGGCAATTCAGGGACAAATAGTATGCTGTTCTGACAAAGCACCTGTGTCTGGTTCATACTGGAATTATGGTTTATAAACTACATAAATTAATTTAATGAGCATTTAAAAGCACAGAATCCCTCTATGAGGGACATGGGAAGTTATAAAATATGATAGAGATAAATGATAAATAGATAGACAGACAGACAGACAGAGCAACCATTATTTCCAGTGCAATTTAAATGCCATAATGCATTTCAGCACACGAATGGAGGGTGAGAGGCAAAATTAATAGGAGGTAAAATTAAAGACCAAAATGAACTCATAATGTTTCAAATAAAGGAACTATGTAGAGAAGTGAGGTTAGCAAGATATCTGAAAATCAGAACTGACAAAACTGATAAAAATACCCAAGCAGAAGATAATCTCTGGAAATACGGTTGTGGCCTGTAGACTAAAAAACTAAAAGACCAAAAGAAAACTGATGTAATTCCCCAAGGGGAAATAAAGATTACCAACACTAGAAGAAACATGTAAGTTTGCAGTTACATTGGCTCTTAAGTGTGCATATAGCAACTTTATGCCCAACAGTGTTGGGATCCTCTTTGTGAATTTCCCTGCGTGATAAGTACCAAGTATTTAAAAGATAAATTAACACAATTGCTAAATCTCACATAGCTTCATATATACAATTTAGAACAACTAACCAGTGGAATGGCTTGCCTGCAGAAGTTGTGGGTGTTCTATCACTGGAGGTTTTTTTTTAAAGAAGAGATTGAATAACCATTTATCTGAAATGGTATATGGTCTTTAACTGACCAGGAGATTGAATTAGAAGAAATTCAAGGTCCCTTTCAACTATTGTTTGTTACAATGACATCTGCAAAGCTAACAGTTTTATCCTGTCATGCTGCTATGACTATGTATTGGTGCAACATCAAAAAGCTGTTCATTATTCATTTTGTGAAGGACCATGAGAAACCATTTGGCAAAGGGTGATGGCTCAGAGCATTCCACATGGATGCTTCCAGAGTCCAATTTTTTCATTCCCTCTGCCTTATCCATTGCCACTGTTTTCCAGACTCAGAACATACCTGAATTCCAAACAACTAAATTTGGGATCTTCTGCATACAAACCAGGTCTCCAACCACCAAGGAAGGAACCTTCTTAGGAGATCTGATCTACACTAATTAGATATCCTTAATTTACATTGCTTTTGGTCCCAACTTGGGTTGAAAATGTGGAGTTTAGGAACCGCTGCTTACATTCTTATGACTGGTCAATGCCGGCATTTTGGGAAATGAAGTAACAATATGGAAAATACAGGTAGTCTTTGAATTCCAACCATGAAGGAGCCATCACAATCATCATTCATATAAAGAAAGTAAGCCACAGGCCCAACCTGATTTCACAATCTTTTTTGTAGTAGTGGTTAAGCAAGTCCTAAAACAACCCTTGCAGTTGTTAAATGAATGCAACAGTCGATAAGCAGACCAATAGCTTGCTATGAGTGTGGTTTTTGCCAAAAACCGAAAAAAATGCCAGTTTTCAGGAAAACCACCATAACATCTGGTCATGTGATTGCAGGACACTGCCAATGGCTGCAGTCCAGTTGCCATGTATTGAAGTGCAGTAATGTGATCAGCGGGTGGGGCATGAGACCATCAAAACAGTGGGTGGGGCATGAGACCATCAAAACCAGGTTGTAAGTAACACCCCCCCCGAAAGGTCTGTAGTGCCCGTTATAATTCCAAACAGTTGCTGAGCAACTAGTTGTAAGTTGAGCAATACCTAGTTTTTGTGGCATACAATGATGATTCAATGCTTCAACAGCAACAAGATAACTTACCATTCTTTGCCAACTCCTCTAACAGGCCATTCCACTCTTCCCGAAAGATATTTGCACCAGTTAAGCTGCCATCTCCCCCAATCACACAAAGGTTTGTGATTCCACACTTCACTAGATTGCAGGCCGCTTTCAAGCGACCTTCACGAGTTCGAAAAGCTTTACAGCGAGCACTGCCAATAACAGTCCCCCCCTAAAGACAGAAGGAAAAGTTCAGATGAGAAACAATAGATCTCATTTCAATGGGCCTAAATCATCCATAAGCAACCTTTAGGGCCCATTGGAATAGAAAAAAAATTTCTTTATATTACTAATTATAGGAAGATAATATAAAAATCGCTTACAATATATATGACAGCCTTTCACAACTAGCACCTTTTTTCCAAAGATGCAGAAATTTCTATTCTTACAACTGCCAGGCATGGCACTCATCGTAATATATCACACATATCTTACAAAGCTACTTGGAATTCCTATTTTGAAAATTGAAAATATCTGCCATAGTTACACTTCCCTGACTTTGTTGAACTTGTTCTCTTCCTCCACACCCTCAGAATACTCTGTAGATGTGTAAACACAGTAAGATTATAATAGGAGGCAGGAGGAAATTTGTGTGCTGGCCAAATCTTATGAAACAGAGAATCTGTGTTGTGTATGACTGCAATATTCCATTTCCTTTTATCACATGCTTAATCACAGGTATTGCGCTGTCACCTGCTCATAGGGGCAAAATAAAATTCCTTTGCTCTGTTGGAAGACCTGTAAGACCAGGTTAGAAATAGATCATTGTGGAGAAAATTTCTCCATGTGGTCGCTAAGAATCAACACCAATTTGATGGTCCATAATCAGTTGAACACCATACCAGCTCAAAAGAAAATTATTATGCAAGTTGAGAAGATTGCAGCTTTTCAAGATATTGTACTGATTCCTCAGGAGGTAGAAATTAAACCATGGAAATGATGTTCAAGAGCAGCACCTCCAACCTAAATGCAGTTAATAAAGACCTCCCAGCATAACAAAGTTTTGTAAAAGGTCTTATAATTAGACAAATGAAAAGCAGAATGAAAAGACACCAGATTCTACAATTGGTTCATGGTTTCTGTTGCAAGCACACTGGAAAAATTGGAAACAACAGAAAACAACAATGTCAGTAAGTCTTAATGTCTACGGAGAGATTCTCAGACATTTAGGCTTAGTTGTCTCAAAGGTGCATTTTCAAAAGGCAACTGGACTGGTTTGGAGGAGGAGGAGGAGGAGGAGGAGGAGGAGGAGGAGGAAGGAGAAGGAGAAGGAGAAGAGGAAGAGGAAGAAGAAGAAAAAGAGGAAGAAAAGGAGGAGGAGGAGGAAGAGGAAGAGGAGGAGGAGGAGGAGGA